CGAGTGGTTAAGGCGCAGGTCTGCTATTTGGTGATCTTTCACCCTAGCCAATCTGTCTCTTTGGAGGCGTGAGTTCGAATCTCACAGGTGTCGATGTTTTTTTGCACTTTTTTTTTTTTGGTTCCATTTTCTGCTCGATCCTGCGTTATTTACGCTCATTGCCTCTCCTCTACTGGAAAGAATTTATCCGCCACCTTATCTGAGCGGTTTGTACTCCGTACTCCTGGGTGACGGCGAATTACTAGAAACGGTATAGCTTTCCTATATAGGTTTAGCGTCCCCTTGCCGCTTGGCACCGCTGTGCGTGCTCTATAAAGTCGCCCGCCATCGCTGCTTCAACTTTCAACCAAAATTCTGTTGTTTTCCTTCCACTTGGTTCTCCCGCTGCCTGGATGATCTTGGCGAGGCATTTTTACTATTGATTCTCTGTCTGGCTTCGCCATCTGATATTTGTTGGACTGAGAAAAGTTTGATTGGCACAGACTGATTTAAGACACTGATACCACCAACCACCAACAACTTCACCTCGTGACCGGCGTCGCCAATTCGCCTTCTGGCCTGCATTGGACAGGGAATCAGTTGGTGCAGAGAGACCAGTTGAAGATATTGATGTGCCACAGCACTGCTGACTTCACCTCATGGCCAGCATCACCGAATGTTGAGAAGAGCCGCGGGGATCACTATCCAGCTTCACCTTGTCTATACTACTAGACATCATGGGCTTGGTTGATGTGACGGCTCAGCTCAGCGCCTTTATCGACAAACATCATCAACATGGCAAACGATGCCATGCAGGCAATTAAGACAAACAGCAGCTTAGCGATGCCGCACAACCCCTACAAATTTCTCCATGTAAATAGGCCTTTCCCCTTCTTTCCTTTTCTTCTCCAGATTCGATATTCTCGTCGTTAGGCTACCTAGTCCAAATATGAATATTATTCGTTTTATCTGCTAGTTTCCGAGCCCGTGACACTTCTCATGGGTTCTACCTAGGTAGCTATCGACGAGAATAATCAACATGAGGGAAGAAGAAGAGGAAGGATGTGCCATCAGCGTTGACGACTTATATCCCTTGCTTCCGGCACGTGAGAGGTATACACGTGACCAGACCGTCACAGCCACACATGGACTGTCTAGAAGATTGGATAGCACAGCATGTGCTTTACATGTCACACATGGCCAGTGTGGTACTGGTTCACAAGAGCCGAACCTTCACTTTCTGCTTCAGTCAGTAGACTCGTTAACTCTAGGAGGGCCATGCGGCCCAGTCTACCTTTCCTGATGGAAGGAGAGGGAACTCACTGAGCGGCAGAAAGGGCTTAGGCATCATATAGTGAGGAAGGGACTTCATGGATGGATGGATTTCATCAAAAGCACACGCACATATATCTGAAAACGATCCCAGAGGTCTCATCTGAGGACTATTTGTTGATTGATTGATCTGATTTGACTCGATTTAATTGCTTTATGCTTGTTTTTACTTGATGGATAACATGGTTTACTGTTTGCGTTTGTCTGATTTATATTACAATGCAGTTTCAAGTACGATATCATTGATTCCAAGCTATAAACCATACACTGGTGATCAACATCTGCTCAAAGACTGCCTTAAGCCTCTCTAATAATCCAAGTACCCCATATCTCATTAAGCTTCTCCAGTCTTTCAATGAATCCCGTATCATTATGTACCCCATCCCCAAATTCAAACCAAGTGTGTAAAAGCACATCCACAATCCACAATCCCCATCACCATAACCGATTTCCGTCCATTCTCCATGACCTTCCACTTGTTTATCCCACAAAGATTAGCCCTCTGATCCATTTCCTTGATGATATCCCATGACAAGGGCCCCATCTTCATTAACAACATCAGAAGAAACACCATAGCACTAGTAGTGTTTCTCAAACGCCTCTTTCCACTAGGAAATTCGCTCACGTTTCACATTCATGCCTGAGGATTCGCGGCATCTTGTTATATGTCCTTCATAACGTTTTATCAAATTGACTTCAGCGCGTAGGCGTCTATTATGTTCTCTGAAAATCCATTGCGGAAGGAGTTGTGTCTGCATCTGCAGGTTTGAGTCTTTAAGAGATGAATGGTATTCATCTGGGACAATGATTCTGGAGAAGATGTCCTATTCCTTATATAAAAACATTTCACTGGGGTATCTTATGTCTTGTTTCTTGTCTGATGCTCGTAGCTGGTCGAGCCCACCATGCGCTGTGATGTTGCCATGGAATGCTGATAGCAGGTTTGTACATGTACTATTCCTAAGAGTTTGCCTATTCAAGTCAATTGAGCTTTTCCTCCGGAGATATTTGATATAGCCGGGTAAGCCAGTTAAACAGCGAATGGTTCTCCCATCTGCGCTGCCACCATGCGTAATTACATTCCTATAGATTCGGGCCGTTAAATTATACCAAACTTCAGGCCATTTTTCTCTTCTGGATTTACTCCTTGCGGTTGAATGCGAGGTACTAGTACTCCGTTGAAAATCCTTGTAGCAAGACAAATTTGGACGTTTAAAGCATTTATGCACTGTTGCATAACTTGTAGCATCATTATTCCGACCCGAGACGTGAAGTACTCCGGTACTAACCACCGGAAGGGCTGGATGGGAATACTTGCCAAGGAACTCTTAGCAACTTCAAACCCGGACCACGCTGAATTAAGTCAACTGAGTCAGGAGGTGTCCCAGGAGGCACTGACAACTGTCGATCACACCACCCAAACAATCACTAATCAACTTGGTATGTCCTTCATGAACCAGTTGAGACAGCTCCAATCCGATAGGGACCAAGACCGTGAGGAACTGCGCAGTGTACGCGAAGAACTGTGCGGTGTACGCGAACAGAATCTCACCACCATCGACTTCTTTATCGTCAGAGCCTCAACCCTTGATGAATGGGCAGAAGACCGAGACCCGATCTGGGATGACGATCGGAATGACTCCGTTCACGGCGGGAGATTGCGAACAGACGTTAAGACCGCGCTCTATTACGAACCGATGGAGCCCGAAAGGGTCTCACGTTGGAAAAGCCTATTCAATCATTACTACGGAATGCCCTTTAGTAGCATTGTCGAAATCATCGGTACACTCCCGGATACCGTGGTGGAAGTTATGAACCGCCGTGCAAGTGTGCAACGGATGAAGGTCTGGCAGAAAGGTTACAACCAGGGACGTCGCTCGACAATTCTTCGGCTCGCAGACAAATACATCCAGCGCTTCAGTGAGCAGGGTACCAGTGGATTAGCGGATGAGAGTGTGAAATGCGATTTTCGAATGCTTGAAAATACCTGGGAACGCGGTTGGTGGGCGGCCGCACAGGAAAAACAAGGATCATAAAGAGGCTTCATGTATATATTATCAATGAATCGTAGGTCGATATCGCTTAAGTGTTATAGTTACTCCGTACCATGAAGTTCTGAGGCGCAGTCTCAAATCCGAGCTTTCTACTGCCGCGTAATAGACCAATAACAGCTATAATAATCACCCTTATCCACCAAGCTCAGGCAAACTCTTTGCACCGGTAGAACAATAAACCAACTCCGAGCATTCTACATAGTACTCCCGAGACCACACGTACGTAGCTGTATACGAGTACGGTGATTCTTCTATGTCCGCAGTGGGGCCGTGACGCACCCCAGATTAGATTGTGAGACATCCCAAAAAGGCCAACTTGGCCGTTTACGATAAAAGCACCGCCCCTCGCTCAGGCGACCATAATCCCTAGTTAACAAAACATTCATGAATTGATGCTCAAGGCAAACTACTCGTGTCGCATGGCTGGCCCAATTGTGATCCTCTCTGTTACCGCGAGCATTTGAGCTCGTCCTCCCTTCTTATCTTGTCCGCACGCGCTCCGTCGGTCTCTTTTCGCACTTCTCCATTCCGCCTTAGAGATCGACCTTTTTCTTTCTTCTTCAAATATGACTGGGTCTTGGGGTGATGTCTGCGTTCATTGCGTAGAGCTCCTTGCTCGGGTTCCTCTCCATGTCACCTTGACTGCGGTCTTTGCTAGTGTAGTGGGATTGTTTGTCTTGGTATGTCGTCGCTACTGTGCTTACTACCTGCAATTGCTGGTCAACGACGATGGCTAACCTATTTGTCTGGTTGGATAGTTCTATACCCTCCTCTACCTCGTCGCGCCTATCCCCCGCCAGTCCTTCCCGGAAGAAAAGAAATACAGAACCCTTGCGAAAGATGGATCGACCACGAAACCTGAGCCGCTACCCTGCTGGCACGATGCCCTCGTCGACTCCAAGAAAAAATCAGGCCGGATCCTCGACTCGCCGAAAGTCGAACCAGCGGAATTGTTCATGTCTGTGGTAGTCCCGGCTTACAACGAAGAGGGCCGTCTAGGAGGCATGCTGGAAGAAGCAGTGAACTACCTGGAACGAATGTACGGGACATTGGCTACGAATAGTGACCGCGACGCGACAGCGACAGCGACTAGTGACCAGAAGAACACAACCCGACAGCGAAAGTCAGGAAAGCGCCAAGGATCAATGTGCGAAGAGCAGAAAGGATGGGAGATACTCATTGTCTCGGACGGATCTAAGGATAAAACGGAAGAAGTGGCGTTCAAGTTTGCGCGGGATCACCAGCTTTCCCTGCACCCCAAGGGGTACGCCGGTCCTTGGACGCCCAGGCCACAGGAAGGTGTTCCTATCCCTCCTGGCGCGATTCGGGTGGTGACCATCACCCAAAATCGAGGAAAAGGAGGTGCAGTCACGCATGGTTTGCGGCATGTCCGGGGTCAATACGTGGTATTTGCGGATGCGGATGGCGCGACCAAATTCGATGACCTGGGCAAGCTCGTCGATGCGAGTAAGGAGATCGAGGATGCCGGTGGACGGGCCGTGGCTGTGGGCTCCCGAGCACACATGGTTGGCAGCGAAGCTGTGGTCAAGGTTTGTCACGATTCAGGACTAGGACTAAGGCAACCGGGCTAACTGATATAGCGCTCGAAATTACGAAACTTTCTCATGCACTCTTTCCACCTGATCCTCTGGCTATTGACCCCAGCCAAGACGGCCACGATCAAAGACACCCAATGCGGATTCAAGCTGTTCTCGCGCGCCTCTTTGCCTTATATCGTCCCATACATGCACTCGGAAGGCTGGATCTTCGACGTGGAGGTGCTCATGCTAGCGGAATTCGCGAGGATCCCCGTGGCAGAGGTAGCCGTCGGGTGGCGCGAGGTCACGGGGAGCAAGCTGAATGTGATCCGCGATAGTATTGGGATGGCCTGGGGCCTAGCCGTGCTCCGAGCTGCCTGGTCATTGGGAGTATATAGACGGAGCTAGTCGCATTTTGCATCTGAGTTAAATATGAATCAGTTGAATATTGATTCTGACTAACTCTGCGGAAGTGAATATGTACGGAGGTTTATTCCGTAGATAGTAGGAGCATTACCCCTGGAGTAGAGGTTCTTTTGACTTTGCGACGTCTCAAAATGTCCCTGACTATCCTCGGAAGCTTTCGCCGTTTCCCACTATCGTTACTTATTATATCTTTCACATGTCTACAAGCAGACTCCAATACCTCGATGCCAAGGCAATTATGCTAACTATAGGAGTATCCAGTACTAATCCCATTATATACAAAATAGGGCATGAGTCACTCACAACCCAATCGAACGATACAAACGGTTTTGCCGGTGGAGATGGCCGAAAGCGATATACTCCACGGCGGGCCATCATCGGCCAAACTGTGGAAAGAACAAAGGAAAAATAACCAGCAAAAGAAACTTCTTCGAGAAAATTGAGCGGAATAAACTTTCTCGGGCTGGATCCGTCGCCGAAAGTAAGTCACACCACCGAAGATGCCGAATTGCCATAGTACTGTGAGTTGTATGGGACGGGGTGGCTTGATCTGTGCTTGGCTTAAAAGATTTTTTTTTTTTTTTTCTGGTTTATATATGGATGAGATGATGCTTTTCTGGGTTTTCTGTTTCCTTTTGTTTGCTTTTCTAGCTTAGCTTTCATACTCATACTGGTTCTGGTTCTGTCAAGTATACTTCCGACACGCAAAGCGCGAATTACGGTGTACTCTCACCTCGCTATATAGCGCATTACACCTACAATTGATTCCGTTCAACATTCAACAAGATGCCTGGGATCATCTATCCCAATGTTTACCAGCCTAGCACTCACCAGGCCAATCCTCCCAAGAGCAATACTCGCAACATAACTCTCCAATCAGGCCTTCTCCGCCTCCCAACAGAACTCCGTCTCAGAATCTACGAATATGCTCTATCCGTCCCTAACGAATACAGCAATGAACGTCCTATGATCGTGGTCAACGACCGAGGCAACGCATTTACCTCCCGCGGCCGCTACCGTGCCCTGCAAATGTGTCCAAGCTGGGAAAACGACGACGGCACGACCCGCAAGCTCCTCCGTGTCAACCGTCTCATCCACGACGAGGCAGAGGATTTCCTTTACTCGCACAACACGCTTTTCTTCCGTAATTCGTTTGATCTGGACCGGATGGGTGCCTTTCTCGATACGCTTAGCGCTACTGCGCGCAGTCGCATTCGCAGTGTCGGGTTTGAGGTGTACTTCTTTGTACATTCGCAGACGGGCGTGCCTAAGCGAACTCTGAAACAGTACGAGCAAGCGGGTCGTTTATTGCAGGAGAAGTTACCGCGATGGTCGACTGTGCTGTTTTATCTTGATCCACGGTTTTATTACCCGTCTGCGACGGTTGGTGGACGGGAGCTTTCTGCTCGGGGGGTTCTGTATCTGGCAACGAGATTCGGGGCCATGCGCAAGGAGGTGCATTTCTTCCCCGTGCCGGGTATCCATCGGCATGTCATGGACGAAGCGCAGAGGTTGCTGCGACGGGGGAGTCGTGGGTCTCAGGAAAGGCCTTCACTGTGATCTTCATCTCTCCGATCTTCTCACATTCTTGATGCGATCATTCAACTGAAAGTCACTCGCCACACGGAGAAAAAACTGTATGACGTCGCGAGAAACGATCCGATCGCGCAGTTAATCGCTATCAATCATTCCACTCCATCCTGTCGTTTTCTGTCGTTTTCTGTCGTTTTCGGCGCCAAATGCATGCTATATCGGAGTATTGGTGGAAATGGGCATTAATGGCGTTTTGTTTTCTGTTTGCATTTCTGCATTGTTGGCGTTTATGCTTTCTTCATGACTTCATATATACTTATAACATAATACCATAATGACTGATGAATTCGTGTTCAGAGACAATCGCTTTGTTTTGGGCAGATGACACTACGTCACAGTCCCGTGATCTCTCCTCTTCTGAAGCCCAAAGAATACATTATTACCTTTGTTAATCCCCCAATTTGCATCATTCTTCAAGTATCTCATACCCTGACATTCATTGCTATACTATATTATACCCTCATTCGCTGCATCGAAGATCTGGCGTTAGTTGGCGCTGTGCGTCCACTTGGCTCTGTACGTGGCCATCTGTATACCTTTACTTCCCAATTCTTACAGGAGGTCCGCCCATACATCTTACTCCTGCTGGGTCTCTTATATTTGCTATTTTCCCTCTTATTTTCTTTTTACCATCGTCCATTCCACCATTGACTGCATCCTCCATCTCCATCTCCATCTCTATCACTCATCGTCATCATCATCATCATCATCATCATCATGAAACCCTGCCTGGCAAAAGGCCTCACCGGCCATGGCTGTCTCTACAAAGAGGTCCACTGGTCCCCCACTGTCACCACCATCCAAAACCCACAATCTGACACCCCCGCCTCACGCCCCTCCTCAACCTTGGATATCGACTACCTCGAACACGTGCGATCATTCATCGACCACCAAAGAGAAAACTTCGAACTAGAGCGCAGACTCTTCGCGGATGAAAGACGACTCTGGGACGAAGAACGCAGATTGCTAAAGTCGAAGATATTCGAGTTGGAAGCGAACCTGAGGGGAAACGCCAACGCCAACGCCAACGCCAACGCCAACGCCAACGGGTATGGGGCCCACTCCAGCGTTGCTACTAACGCCAAGTCCGATCTGTTCGGTCCACCTCTACCAAACCATTCCAAGCAAGTGCGGGAGGGTTCCAACCCTCGGGGCAGGCTAGCGGGGATTTTTGGGGAGGTGGAGAAATCATCTGACGAAGGTTTGTTTTTTGTCTTCTTCGTTCGAAGTCCCGAACTTTGCTCACTGTGGTGGTAGCAGTTTCTACACCCAATTCTAGAGTGCCACGAGAGGTCATCGCTCGGGTGATGACGCCCCCGTCGCCAGCTGCACCGCCAGCGGCAGAGTCGCAGGAGACCTCGCCGTCGCCATCCCCGACTTCGCGGCATAGGAACGCTCTCAAGCTCAAGCTTTCCGAACTTGGCCCGCCGGACAGGAACCTGACAAGGGATGCAGGTCACACACCCATGGCGGCTGTTGTCGAAACAGAGACAGGCACGGATCAACCGTCTCCCAGCGAGGGGAACTCGTTGTCTCGCCAGCCGACGGAAAATTCAGAGTCTTATTTTCCGGATTTGCCAGAGGACCCCGCCTTGAAGGGTCCACTCTCCCTGTTGAACGAGGAGGAGCACGATAGGGGTTTTCTGGAAGAGCTCAATCAGAAGCTTATGGATCAGACGAGCGATCCCTCTGGTGGCCACAAGGACCAAGACGAGGCTTCTAGTCAAGATAAGCGACCATGAATTTTGGAAACATGATATAATTCGCATTTGCTTGACGGGCCGAGTGCGACGTCGAAGCATCGTGATTTGGTTGTATCACTACTAGAAGGGACATACGTATAGGTTGATTTGATGATTTTCTGGATATGAACATGGGCCTTGATGGCTTGAAACTGTTATCCCTGCCCGGTGCAGGCACTTTGTTTCTTGGGATACCATATACGATTTTATGACTTTGTTATTTTTTTTTTTTTTTTTGGCATATTCGAGCCACTTTTTTGATATGATATTGCCTGTGTCTAAGCTGATTAGATGAATGAAATCTGATTGGATTTGATGTTCTTCCTTTTCTACCCCCAGTCTATTTCTTATTCAACGGCCGGCCTGAGACTTTGATATCCCCTTGCATCGACTCGTGCAGGTCTCTGACTTGACTTACAGCCCTGCAGGTGTTTTTCATCTAGTCACCACGAACTACATGTGCTGATTTCACTTTGCACAGACGTTTCCCCCGCGATGGCCATATCTAGCAAGGGTTACTTTCACTACACTTCGAGTCTCACACACTTGTCCACGCCCTTTTGAAACCACTCTAAGACTCCACAAAGATGGATATCCCTTTGCTTCATGGAGCTTCTGCTGGCTCTGAAAAGATACAAAAAGGCGATAGAATCCCGTCCAGATCGATTCTACATTCCAATCATCATCCACTCTCTCGAGCACCAAAGCCTTCCATATCTGAATCACCCATCCAACCAACTGTGATATATCGTTGAACTCTCATCTCTACTCCACAATGACAATCAAAGCAAGCCTCCTCTTCCTCATGCTAGCCGTCGGCCCAGCCACGGTCCTCTCAATCCCAATGCCAGAAGTAAGCCCCACCCCCATGCACCACCCACCCCCCCCTCCAATCCAAACAAACACCGATCTAACAAAAACAAAAAAAAAAACCAGCCCACCAAAACCCTCCAAACCCGCTCCTCCGAATCCGGCCTAGACGCCGGCATCGACGACGGCCCCTACCTATCCTCACACTCCTCCTCCGAAGACGACGGCTCCACCTCCGACAACCTCAATGCCGGTATCCCAGATGGTCCCTACGTAAACCTCTACGATACCTACACGCCGCCACCCCCGGAGACAACACAGTACCCGCCCCCAGAACCGACTTGGTCGCCTGAGCCTATTCCTGTTCCGTCGCCGGAGCCGACGCCTGTTTCGCCGCCGCCGGAGCCGCCTGTTGTGCCGCTGCCTGAGCCTGAGGAGGAGCCGCAGCCGCAGCCGGAACCGCAGCCGGAGCCTGAACCGGAGCCGGAAGAAGAGGAGATTGGGGAGTGTCCTGCTCCTGAGCCAGAAGAGGTGTCTGAGCCTGAGCCTGAGCCTGAGCCTGAGACTGAGGAGCCCGAGCCCGAGTGTCCGTGTAACGAGCGGTTCGACTCGTTGGAGGAAAAGTTGGCGCAGATCGGCACGCAGTTGGATGCGCTGAGGCAGGTGCAGGTTGCTGTGAAGGCTCAGCAATAGGTGGATTTCCATCGGTTTGGTTTGGGATGAGATATGGATTTCTCTTCTTGACCTCTTTTTTTCTTTCTTCATTCCTCTTCTTCCCTTTTTTTGACTTCTTTTTTTTTTTTTTTTTTTTTTTTTTTTTTTTTTGCGCATTCTTACTCTATTCTTCTTCTTATATTTGGCATTGGCATGTGTCGTGCATTTTATGTATCTTGCATTACTTTCTTTCTTGCTTTCCTTCATCACTCTTGATTTCTCTTCTTATTCATTCCTTTTTACCTTTTTGACCTGTTCTTTTCACTTTTCTATTTCATGATTGTTTCCTTATTTCTTGTGGCTCAATGTATGACGGATGACGAGTTGGATTTAGATAGATTTAGCTATAGGATTAATGCCATTCTACATCTACACTTCACAGAACATCCATTCTTCTATAACAAGCAACATGTTTCAATTATTAGTTAATGCCAATACCATAAGAGTATCATAGAAAAATCGTACGACTGCGCCTGAACCAATAAACGAGAACACCTAAGTAAACAACAGTAAATAAACAACGAGTCAAGTAAAACCCAGCTCCTTCGAAATTAACAAGCACAGCGGACTAAACACCCATCGTAAAATCATGCTCAATCCCCGGCGTCACACTAGCCACGAACTTAAGGAACACAACCAGATACTGATCAACCCGAATAGCAACCTGATCTTCCTCGTCATGCTGCAGCATCTCCCACTCATCGCCTCCTTCTTTAGCTTGCTCAGAGTCCAATGATAGACCCTTAGTATCATCCACCAGGCCCTCAAGACCGCGGTCAACTTTGACGGATGAGGACTGCGCCTGCTTCAGCTTGTCGCGGCGGATCTTGAGCGCTGCGTCGGCGCGGTCGAGGAGAATTTTCATGACGGAGGCGTGGCGGCAGGGGTGCACGGAGGCCATTTTCACGTTGCCGTCGAACCATGGGAAATCCTCTAGGGTGACGGTTTTGTCTTTGTAGTCGCCGACGATGTCTTCCATCATTAGGTGTGGGGGGAGGGGTTGCGAGGGGGAGAGGTAGCCGGAGAGGTAGAGGCGGGGGGTGCGGTAGAAGTTGGAGTATGTGATGTAGAGGTTGTATGTGCGGGTTGGCCTAAGTTCACCACGTTAGCAACTGCATCATTATCATCGTCAAAAGTTGGAGTGGAGACATACTGAGTAGTACTCGACCCCCCAACCGGCTCCCGAATAATAGCCTCCTCGTCATCATCATCATCCTCCATATCAGGAATCTCCTCCTCCTCCTCTTCCTCCTCCCTCTCCCCCAAATTCCCCGACTCATCCACCGTCCTCACATCCCTCAGCCTATCCGCCTGCGACTCCGCAACAGTCCTCCCACCCCCCGTCCTCAACCACCCATCCTCATCCCCGTCACCCTCGCCACCCGCAGCAAGCATATCCTGCACGATCTCATCCTCGTGGCCCGCATCGCCTGCAAAGTTCTCATTCAGTCGTCGGTGGCAGGGCACCCCGCGGGTGACAAGGAACTGTTTGCCCGGGGGGAGGTAGGAGACGCGTTGCGCGGGGGAGGAGGCGTCGGACCAGGACCAAGAGGGAAATTTGTAGACGAGGTAGTCGCCTGCGAGGATGAATTCTTCGGGAGTGATTTGGCCTGAGGTGCGGAAGGTGGAGGTGCGTGAGACGGGGGCGAGGCGGTCGCGCCAGGTGGAGAGGGTGGAGTGGAGGATGTTCATGGTTATGCTGGATTTCTCTGGACTTGTAGATTTATGATGGCAAGAGAGGAGATTTGTAGATTGTAGATTGTAGATATGTTGTAGTGAGGAAGAAGGGAGAAGTGGCGGAGAGACAAGACCGTCATTCATATGCACGCGGGGCTCATCACATGGTCTTATCGTAGCCACGGGGTTTGGCCTCTGCTTGTCGTTTACTCTTATTCATTGCCAAGGACTATTGAATGCGCCAGACGTATTATTTCTTACTAGAATGTCTCCAAGGTACTACTAGCTAAGGGACTACTTCAGTTACGTCACCGCTGGAATGCTCACCTTGGTGGGCGAGCAGCTTGCTAGAAGACCTATCTATAGGACACTGACTTCTTCAGTCAGCGAGAAGCTTCATGGTCGCAAGCCAGCGCGATGAAGTTCTGTGTACCGCCTGATATGGCGCCCAGCAGCATCAGAGAAGGATGTGAGAGTCAAACAACCAGCCTAGCATGACATTCACTCGCCCTCCGCCATCATTCTGCCCCTCTCAACCTCAGCCTCCACCTCATCAACAACCATAGGAACCGTCCGTCCCTTCCACTTCTCCCTCTCCGCACGCGCAAACCCCTCCATACTCCTCATCCCCACTACCAAAAACCCAAGCTCTTCCCGATCAACATCAAACACCTGCCACCACTCCTCATCAACGAGTTTCACCCCTTCCTCCCGGGAGGCCAGATATATCGCAGCGGCAGCAAGTGCATTTGGCTGGTGCGTAATGTAGAGCAACTGCGGCGATAAAAGCGCGCTGTTGAGATGCTCGAAAACCCGTCGCGCGACCGATGGTGACTGCACGCCTAGGGTCTGTAGATATGTAAGAGCGATGGCGTGCGGTAGTGCGACGTGTGTATCGAAACCGAGAGCGCGTAGGATAATGGATTCAATGCGTAAGAGGATCGATCGTTCGGTTTGGTAGCCTCCTTCGGAGAGGGAGTAGGATTCCGGGGAGGGCTTCTCCGGCGCGCCCTGGGGGTTTATGAACCATAGTGGCGAGGCATCCTTTGATAGAAGGAAGGTGTAGACGTTTAGGACTGAGCGCTGTGAGGTCGGTTGGAAGGAGAGTTTCGCTGTTAGGTAGAGGGAGGCTGCAGACACGTCCTATTCAGTCATTGTGTTAACCAGCTGGTCCTCAAAACAGGTAAGTTTCATTGGTCCACCCACCTTGACAGAGTATATCCGGAGACTGCCTCCTTCAGATCCTATCCAGAACCGCGTAAAAGTCACAATAGCCTGGGCTATAACATCTTGCGACAGTCGTAGCAGCACTCCGGCTGCCTGTGTGAGTTGGGCGCCTGCAAAACGGATAGAGGTCTCGAGGTCTGGAGAAACGCCGTCGATAAACGAGGAAGAACTCGATAATTGATCTGGAGTGGCTAGAGCATTGGAGAGTTGTTTCATCCCTGCGACGTTGGAGGGGGCCATGCTGGGAGGGTGGTTAGGTTGGAGAAGTTGCAGCTGCAGATGCCATTGAAAGAGTTCGTTGTGACCGCGGAGCTCAACTCACTCTCCCTTCAACCATCTTAGCCTTCTACTATCTACAATTACACAGCTACGGATTTATTTCAATTCATACTCGTTGACTCTGTTCTCAATCTTTGCAGAGTGACTTCTATATAGAGATGAAGACGCCTATTCTCGATGGCAAATGGTAGGATACCAGTACTTCAACTGGAGAGCACCAGCTCTGCATTCCAGGCTGACCAGATGCCTACGGAGTACTCTGTACCTACAAGGCATTCCCAGAATACTCGGGAAACCTGATGCTAACCATCATTCCAATCATCCACATGGTGACGGGTGACGGGTGACGGTGACGTCTGAAGAATCGTACACCCTCGGCGACGGCGAACTGCTCTAAGAATAACACAAAACGGAAAACCACCATCTCTTATTCAATCAATCAAAAGCTCTGCCTCAACGCGTGTGGAGTCTTGAGAAGCCCTGTGTCGAGTAAGAAGAGAAAAGAAGCCGTTCAGCCACCGCATTTTCAGCGATCGACGACGTCCTCAGCAGGCGATAATAACCCGATACTCTGCACTTGAGACGCTGTCAACAGCCCAACCTCGTCAATATTCTCGATCCATAAATACAGAATCTCCCGCTAGTCGCTTACTTGCAGGCCCCGGAATCGATTCCACTTGAAACTCGGGCCCTTGTCATCTTTCAAACATCCCCCCGGTTTCTTCATATCATCTTTTTAGCGCTTGCTCACTCCTCTTTTCATTTCTCCGTTTCGCGTTTCGCATCGACCCAGAGGGCACGTGCGAGTATCAGTATCTCCGGTTGTGCTCGCTACCAACGCTCCCCCGGGAGACGACATACGGAATATCACTCGGATACGGCTTCGTTTGCTTCCCTTTCGCCTAAGTTGATTATTTTTATACATTTTTATACGTGATTACGACTGCTATTCGCTATTACGACACCCGGAACAAACTATTATTGTCCATCATTGAGTCTTTACGCTGTTGGTCTGGGCCTATTGCTTAGATTAAGTCCAATCTCCGCATCAACGCCGGGACTAAACGAAAAAAAGGAGAAAGGCCGCTCTCCCGTCAGGAGACCGCTGCTCAATCTCCGTTCCCCTTTTCCTCCATACTTTGCCCAAATTCCTCTCCCACACTTCCCCGAATCCAATCGTTAGCCTAGCGAGTCATAGCCGTGCATTATTATTGCAGCTCAACGGCCGGGCCCTATCAACGTGGCATTCCAGTCCGGTAAACCTACCAGTTACCATTCCAGAATCCCGTCATCCCTTATTCACGCCACGCTTCTTTAATTCTTCAGACGTGAACATGCTTCAAGGTCTCGAACAACCTTCCATATCACCGTCTCCGGCGCTGGATAATCTTAAACCTCCCTCGACTGCAGTTCTGTCCGTTAAGGGAGACTCAATTAAGCAGCCTTATGACGATCGTCATATATCCCACGAGGAGGACGTACCTGCAGCTTCTTTGACACAGCATATCAATACATCATCACCTGCAAAGAAGTCCCCTGCTTACTCTTCTCACCGCCGCGTCAATACTGAAATCATCTCCCGCCCAACCCCTCTGCCCTCAACACAGTCGTTCACGGAACAGTCTAAGACTACTGAAGACCTCGACGCTTACCACACAACTGCACTTACCCGGAGAAGGGTTGGAGAAGGAGCAAACCGATTCTCAAACTGGTTTCAAGGAAAGTCGGAGCCCGTCAGCGTGGGAGCAATGCACGAAGAATCACCCATGGCAACATCAAGCATCATGGAACGACCTACGGGCCTAACGCAGAAGCGCATGACCTATCCATCACCGTTGAAGCAGGTCACGACGCCTAGCCGATTTTCCCTCTTCGGATCGAAGCGACAAGAGCAGCTCCCCGCACCCGCTGAAGATGAGCTGCTGAACCTCGATGTCACCGCAACTCTGTTCCCACCCGGATCCGACGAACTCGAAGGCCAGGAGGCGTTCGATGCCCTCCGGAACAACGCCGACACAATGATCAAACGCCTACAAGCCGCCTACAAACAAAGAACGTTCGCGCTCCACGAAGCCAACGCGGACAAGAATGAAAAACAGGAGGAGCTTGAGGAAACACGGACCCGTGTCGGGCATCTGAAGGTTCAACTCGATGGAATGGCCGAAAAGGTACAAGAACAAGAGAGAGCCATCAAAGCCATGGCCGAGGAGTTGGAACAAGAGAAACAAACACGTCAACGAGAGGAAGAAGCACGTCGACACAGCGTGATGCTAGTCAAACCTCTCGAGGACGATGTCACCTCCGATTCAGGGGCCGAGTTCACCGCTTCGAAGAGAAGCTCGAAACGCGCCAGTACGTTCACCAGTGACTCTGGCTTTGAATCTGGTGATGAGAGTTCGGCAGATAGCATATTCTCGCGCCGTGGTGGTGTTGTGTCGCCGACTTCAACTGTTTCGACCATGGCATTGTCGCCCAACATCCCACAAGCCGCCCTGTCTCCCCCGACGTCGAATACATTACAACCCCGGAAAGAGCCCATTCGTACAACACCACAACGTCCGTCGGCGTATGACCGACTCAAAGGACTCGCCTCGTCCACTTTTGGTAGTAACCCGTCCAAGTGCATTATATGCCATGGCGTACCATCCTCTGAAGCTTGGACCGTGCTAGGCGTTCTCAAAGAAGAGAACAACGGCCTGAAGACACGGTTAGGAGAGCTCGAAACAGTGGTCGATGACTGCCTGAGTCTTGTTGACTAGGCTTGTTATCGATGTGTCATTTATTTCCTTTGTACTATGCATTTCCTTTGTGTATCGTGCATGACCTTGGTATATACACCTCTATGAGAAAGATGTATTGGATAGCAGCATCTTCTCGAGTTGCCTTTGTCAGGTCTATGTATTGATTAGCGGACTTCTCTGGAAGGAGGACGCATGATGAATTGCATGTCTATGAAAGCAAACTAGATATAGAACATAAACAATATAACAAGTTGATAAATCAGTATATATGTTTCATTCAATTGAGCGTAGAAAAGTGTATAAACACAAATTTGAGACGAAATATGGAGAGTCCATAGTTAAGTACGGCGGAGATGCGACCAAGTGGCCTCAACGGGTTAGCGTGGCTGGGAAGGGAAAAAGTGGCCAGCGAGGCGTCTTCACCACTTCTTCCCTTTTCTGTCCTGATCTCCTCTGTCTCTCCATTTCCTTTTCTATTTCTCTTCGATTCAATCGTTCTTCACTCTTTTTTTGGCTGGTCCTCTATTCCAGCTTCTTTTTCTTTATTTTCCCTCTTTCTCTCCCTAATCCCTCCCCCTATTGACTCGGGAGGTCAACCGTCACCATGAGCGGACGTGAGTTCCCCAGACACGCGATCGCGGTCACTCCAGCTTCAATTGATCGAGTTATACTGACTACCGCATAATAGTTCGCTTCCTCGATCTGATTAAGCCCTTCACGCCCCTCCTCCCGGAGGTGGCAGCCCCGGAGACCAAGGTTCCCTTCAACCAGAAGCTGATGTGGACGGGAGTATGTTATAACGTTGGCAACATGGATAAAAGCGCAGAGGCTGATAATTGGCGCAGTTGACCTTGTTGATCTTCTTGGTTATGAGTCAGATGCCTTTGTATGGTATCGTCTCGTCCGACACGTCGGATCCGCTGTACTGGCTACGTATGATGTTGGCCAGTAACCGGGGTACGCTCATGGAGTTGGGTATTACTCCCATCATTTCTTCGGGCATGGTTTTCCAGGTATGCATTGACTATTATACCCTGTTGTTTTTGACTTGCGACTGACGTGCGCGCAGCTCCTCGCTGGTACCCACCTCATCGATGTCAACCTGGACCTCAAGACCGACCGTGAGCTCTACCAGACCGCCCAGAAGCTTTTTGCCATCATCCTTTCGTTCGGTCAGGCCTGTGTTTACGTCTTGACTGGTCTCTACGGCCAGCCCAGCGACCTCGGTGCCGGTATCTGTGTTCTGTTGATCGTTCAGCTGGTTGTTGCTGGTCTCGTGGTTATCCTCCTCGATGAGCTGCTCCAGAAGGGCTACGGTCTCGGAAGCGGTATCTCGCTTTTCATTGCTACCAACATTTGCGAGTCGATTGTCTGGAAGGCCTTCTCCCCCACGACCATCAACACTGGCCGTGGCCCCGAGTTCGAGGGTGCCATCATCGCCCTGTTCCACCTCCTGTTGACCTGGCCCGACAAGCAACGTGCTCTGTACGAAGCTTTCTACCGCCAGAACCTCCCCAACGTTATGAACCTCCTGGCTACCGTCATCGTCTTTGCCTCCGTCATCTACCTCCAGGGCTTCCGTGTTGAGATCCCCGTCAAGTCCTCCCGCCAGCGTGGCATGCGTGGTTCTTACCCCGTCCGCCTGTTCTACACCTCCAACATGCCCATCATGCTTCAGTCCGCTCTGTGCTCCAACATCTTCCTGATCAGCCAGATGCTGTACTCGCGTTTCTCTGACAACATCCTTGTCAAGCTTCTCGGTGTCTGGGAGCCCCGTGAGGGTTCTGCCCAGCTCCACGCTGCTTCGGGTATTGCCTACTACATGTCTCCTCCCTTGAACTTCAAGGAGGCCCTTCTTGACCCCGTTCACACCTCCGTGTACATTGCTTTCATGCTCGTTGCCTGCGCTCTCTTCTCCAAGACCTGGATTGAGGTTTCCGGCTCTGCTCCCCGTGATGTTGCCAAGCAGCTCAAAGACCAGGGTCTCGTCATGGCCGGTCACCGTGAGCAGAGCATGTACAAGGAACTGAAGCGTATCATCCCCACTGCTGCCGCTTTCGGTGGTGCTTGCATTGGTGCTCTGTCCGTTGCCTCTGACCTTCTCGGTGCTCTTGGAAGCGGCACTGGTATTCTGCTCGCTGTTACGTAAGTTTACTTCTCATATCACACTATTGAATCTGATACTAACGGCTCCTAGCATTATATACGGATACTTCGAAATTGCTGCCCGAGAGGGCGACTTCGGTTCTGGCCTCAAGGGCCTTGTCCCCGGCAGCTAAGCAGGGGAACTTTTGACGAACAGTATGAGATAGGACTGTGATTTCTTTTGATTCTTCGTTTCAGGATTGGTGCTGTTACGGCGAAGACTTCTTCTGAGGTGTCTTCCACATGACAGATAATAATTTATGACGGCAAGATGTGGAGCTTGAATACTTCATTATACATGTATTGATAGTGTCTTTTATGATCTTTTTTTTTTATGTTATCTGTCATGATGGGAGTTTACAAGGAAGTGAGGCTGTGCTGTATATAACACCAAATCCTGGTTTGTAACCATATTATGAAAATTCAAAATAGATGTAATTGGCTTCTATCCTTACATTTAAAAGACTAGTAGCTTGTGCATTTTAAAAAGACAAATCGACAACGCATATACATACACAGTGAAGTTGGGTATAACGACTCAACTTTTCAACTAACACCTTTTCTCCGGCTTAGGTCCGGTAGTCACCGTTGATAGTCACATACTCATGACTAAAGTCACAGAACCAGTACGTAGCCTCCTCACCACCAAGGCCCTTCTCACCCTGCTCACCACCACCCAAATCAACCAGAATCTCCAAATCCTCATGCTGCAGAATCGCACTAGCCCGCTCCTCATCAACCTGCTCCGGCTCACCGTTCACCAAGAGCTTAAGAACGGGGCTCCCATCAACAGGCTTGAAGCTCACGCTCGTGCGCTCCGGCACAACAGTGCCCTCCGCAACACCCTGCGTGTAACCAATAGCACAGAGAATACGACCCCAGTTCGCGTCGCGGCCGTACAAGGCCGTCTTGACGAGCGGGGAGCGAGCGATAGTCGAAGCGATGAGTTTACCAGAGTCATAGGACGGCGAGTTCTGCACGCGCACAGTGACGAACTTCGTAGCGCCCTCACCGTCACGAACAACGAGCTGCGAAAGCGACTGCGCAAAGGTCGTCAAGACATCACGCATAACCGTATAATCATTCGACGAAGACGAGTTAACCGGCGCCCCGCCAGCAGCTCCATTCGCAAGAATAGCAATGGTATCGTTGGTACTCGTGTCTCCGTCTATGGAGATCGAGTTAAACGAGCGGTCGACGGCGTGCTTGAGCAGGGACTGGAGGGCGGGCGGTTCTATGGGGGCGTCTGTGCACAGGACGCCGAGGAGGGTGGCCATGTTGGGGTGGATCATGCCGGCGCCTTTGGTCATGCCGGCGAGGGAGTAGGTGCGGCCGGGGGAGGAGGGGAGGGTGAAGGTTTGGGAGAGGAGTTTGGGGAAGGTGTCTGTTGTGCAGATTGCGCGGGCGGTTGTGAGCCAGGAGTCGTGGGTTGGGGAGAGGTTGGCGTGGGCTGTGGGGATTTTGGAGAGGATTTTGGAAATCGGCAGTCTTCCAGAGTCAGTCAGGTCAGTTTTCTATAGATATGAGAGGATGGGGGGACGTACCGCTGTCCAATAACACCAGTACTCATGACAATCGTACTCGGCTCAGTGATTCCATTACACTCATCCACCTTACCACCCATACCAACCGCATCCTCCACACCCCCCTTACCCGTAACAGCATTCGCACACCCGGAGTTAATAACCACAGACCGAATCCCACTCCCCCGCCGACTCTGCAACGTCTCCCGACTAACCTGCACCGGCGCAGCCTGGAACTTATTCGTCGTAAACACCGCGGCAGCCGAGCACGGCGTCTCGGACGAGATCAGCGCGAGGTCCGGGAACTTGGTGTTGGAGGCTTTCACGCCGACGTGCGTGCCGGAGACGTTGAAGCCCTTGGGGTAGGTGCCGGAGGCAGGGATGAATTGCTTCTTGGATTGCGGGATGGACATTTCCAATGGTGCGGAGTAGTGGCGGACTTGGCCTTTGGCCATGCGCGCGAAGGTTGAGGTAGCCATTGTGGCTACGGGTTGGGAGGCCATGACACTTTGAGATGTTAGCGATGGTCTTGGTTTCAGTGTGACGGAGGAGGTTCAATTTATATCCTCGTGGGAGTGGTGACTCACGATGCACCTCTATGCCAATTCCGGTCAATTGCTACGTGGGGGCAGCAGATAAACCTCCCACTTCACAAGACTCGAATAAATACCTGCGTGCACGTTAATTAAACAGCCGAATGAGTATTTTATCTTCTCGAATCACTGCTCCGATATCGCGGGACCGGAGAAACCCATCGGCATCTTTCCTCATTGGGACGCGTTCCAGACGCGCAAAAAGACCACGCCGGCGGATTCTATTCAGGAACAAGGAAAACCACATTGAACATTCCCAGCAATCTCCAGCCCTTGCATTGCCGCTATTGTACCTGCGTTGCCCCTGTTGTTTTAATGGTATTGATCCGCCTTTGATCCCGATATCCATTGACTTGAACTGGCAACTCACGAGATGAAGCGCAAACAACCAGATTCCGGTTCCGAAGATGAATACCGTCCGGTATCCACGCCCAAGAGGCAGAGAACCACGGCAAATGGCTCCGTGAATAACAACATCAATGGCAATGGCCCCCCCGAGGCGAGTCCGACGAAACGAACGCCCCGAAAATCCAACGCCGCGACTCCGGCTGCCCTGAAAGAATCCGGACTAAAGACACCTACGCAACGAGCAAAGGCAAAAGCCCTTTTCATTACTCCTACCAAACCCACGGCTGTTTCGACGCCTACACGAGCACGGAATGCGGACCGGTCTGCTAAGAAGAAGAGTGCGCGGTTACTACTCGAGCAGGATGATGAGGAGGTATGGGATGGAGCTGATCAGTTAGCGGAGGAGATATTGGAGGATGAGAATGATGCACCCGCGGCCACCGCAGCTGCGGATAAAGAAGTGAGGGAATCTGTGGAAGCGTCAGCAGAGCCGACAGAAAAGCCAGCACAAACGTCCAAACGCCGCGCAGGACGACCGAAGGGTGCGAGAAACAAGCGATCTCCAACGCCGGAAGGTGAACTCCCGCCGCATGAACGATATTTCTTCCAGAATCGGGCGGGTCCGACACATACCTCAAATAATACGCTGAATAAGGTATCGCTGTTAACGCATGAGGAATACTTTGATACATTGGCGCGGTATACGGATCCGTGTAAGAGGGAGAAGGAGTTTCTGCTTGACTTGCATCATCGGTCGTTTCCGCAGTGGGACTTTGAATTCGATCAGGGGTTCAACATCTGTTTGTATGGGTTTGGGTCCAAGCGGAGGCTTTTGCAGTCTTTCGCGGATTGGCTTTATCAGAAGCATAGTCCAGCGTCGCCGTCGATTGTGATTGTCAACGGACATACACCTAATATCTCCATTCGATCTATCTTCGCTACGATCGCCACAGCCGTCCTCGGTGCAGATCTCCCGTCGAAGCTGGGTTCCCAGCCAGTCGAGGTGTTGGAGTTATTGCAGTCCGTCCTCAAGTCACGACCGTCCCAAGAGCCTATCACAGTCCTCATCAACTCGATCGATGCGCCTCCGCTCCGACGAGCAGTGAACCAAGCCCTCTTATCCCGACTAGCCGCAACACCTATGATCCGTCTACTCGCGACAGCGGACACACCGAACTTCCTTTTGATGTGGGATATTAACTTCCGCGATCAATACAACTTTGTCTTCCACGATTGCACTACATTCGCCGCCTTCGATGCAGAGTTCGACATTGTCGAAGAAGTCCACGGCCTCTTGGGCCGCAAAGGCCGCCGCATCGGAGGCAAAGAAGGTGTCGGGTTCGTGCTTAAAAGTCTTCCGGAGAACGCACAGAACTTGTACCGCCTTCTCCTAACTGAGTTAATAACAATGCTGGACGAAGGACATAACTCGGACGACGAAGACGGTGGCCAAGGACAAGGAGAGAACAATGCCCACGACGAAACAGGCATTGAATTCCGCATGCTGTACCAAAAGGCAACGGAGGAATTCATCGCTTCGTCGGAGATGATGTTCCGCACGCTGTTGAAGGAATTTCACGATCACCAGATGATCACGTCGCGGATGGACGCGAGTGGGATGGAGATATTGGGGGTTCCTTTGTCTCGGGAGGAGATGGAGGGTGTTTTGGAGGATTTGGTGTTGAGCTGAGTTGTCATGATACCCGTGCGTATATATGTCCTCGTATGAAGGGAACTTGTATTAATTAATGCCTAGCGGGAGTTTTTATTTAGGTACATAGTACTGCAACATGAACAAGATAACCATACTACCCTCCACACCTATTATCGAGAACCTCTTGACACTAGAACTGCGCAAACGCAGCAAGCGACATGGTGGTACCGAAAGTCACCTTGAACGGCGCATATTTCGACAACGTCCTCTGCAAGTCGGTGTTCTTGACATATCTCTGCAACCGGTTCACAGGCACAATGTTATACCCCTTCGACGCAGCCCACTATCAGTTGTCAGCATCCATCCCTCATCTATCCAACAGGGTCCGACATACCTCAACAAAAACAACCCCCATCCCAATCAACACAACCAAAACCCTCGAAAAAGCCCTCAACCCAACCCCCGCAACCAACCCCAACACACTCCCCAGACTAACCTGCTTCATATTATTCTTCGTCAGAAGCCCTGTGCCAGTGTTCGGTCTCGTCTTGCCCTGCTTGGACAGCAGGTGGTCGTCGGAGGGAACGCCCCAGCCGGTTTCTGCGGCGGGGGTTTCGGTGCGGTAGTAGGGGGCGGTGTATTGGCATTGTATTGGAGATGCACTGGAGCGGAGAGGGGAGAGGGGGTGCATTGTGAGGGAGAGGCCGAAGCCGATGCCTAGGACTGTGGAGGTTCGGGAGAGGAGGAGGGACATCTTGTCTTGTTGTATACCAGGTACTGGTTGGTGTGGGATTGATAATTGTTCGATGGTGGTTCGATTGGATTAGTTGTGATGGTTGACTGTATATGGTATAGTAGGAGAGGTTAAGATACTGAAGCAATTGAGAAACTAAAGTAACTACAGGACAACTGGAATGTTGCTTGACTATAGCAACAGACGGTGATTGTACACTGTGACGTCATCAGGCGGTCAGTCCATCTGTAACTTACTGTACAAAATGACCATACACTACAGTCAGCAATCACATGACTTATCCGCGGAGAACTGGTGGCACGTGAACACGGGACGGGGGACCAATCAGAGAACGGCTGCCCCTCGGAAGGAAAAAGTTCGGCGGGGGAGGGGAAAAGAAGTGGTTCGTTCGCCGCTGGAGGCAATTCTAAGCTAAGTATTTTCTGTTTAGAACCTGTCCGTTGACTCATTCCTTTCTTTTTAAGCGGGGTTTACTTTCTCTTGAACGGTCAATTCATTCTTTCCTCTGTTCTTACTCAATTGCTTGTCTTCTTCTCGATCCTACCTATCTTCTATATCCGTCACAATGGCTCAGCAGAACGGTGTCCCCGACTTCACGGTCAAGGCCGGTTTGGCCCAGATGTTGAAGGGTGGTGTTATCATGGACGTTGTCAATGCGGAGCAGGTATGCTCACCAGGAAACCGGTACTGAAAATGCGAAATGATACTAACAATTCCTGCCACAGGCCCGCATTGCTGAAGAAGCCGGTGCCGCCGCCGTCATGGCCCTCGAACGAGTCCCCGCCGATATCAGAAAAGACGGTGGCGTGGCGCGCATGTCCGACCCCGGCATGATCAAAGAGATCATGGAAGCCGTGACCATCCCCGTCATGGCCAAGGCCCGCATCGGCCACTTCGTCGAGTGCCAAATCCTCGAAGCCGTCGGCGTCGACTACATCGACGAGTCTGAAGTCCTCACCCCCGCCGACGACGTCCACCACGTCACCAAGCACAACTACAAGGTCCCCTTCGTCTGCGGCTGCCGTAACCTCGGCGAGGCCCTGCGCCGTATCTCCGAGGGAGCCGCTATGATCCGCACCAAGGGCGAGGCTGGTACCGGAGACGTTGTGGAGGCCGTTAAGCACATGCGTACTGTTAACTCGGATGTTGCGCGTGCGCGCGCGATCCTGCAGAGCTCGCCTAACGCTGAGCCCGAGCTGCGTCTGTACGCGCGTGAGCTGGGCTGCTCGTACGAGCTACTCCGCGAGACTGCTGAGAAGGGCCGTCTTCCTGTTGTCAACTTTGCTGCTGGTGGTGTTGCCACTCCTGCCGACGCGGCGCTGATGATGCAGATGGGCTGTGACGGTGTGTTTGTCGGATCTGGTATCTTCAAGTCCGGTGACCCGAAGAAGCGCGCGAAGGCGATTGTGCAAGCTGTGACTCACTTCAAGGACCCCAAGGTTCTTGCGGAAGTCAGTCAGGGTCTGGGTGAGGCTATTGTTGGTATTAACGTGTCGCACATGGCTGAGGGTGACAAGTTGGCCAAGCGCGGGTGGTAGACTTGAGTGTGTTTTGTTATGGCGTTTGGAAGTTTATTTGTACAGCATCTTGCCTACATTTTCTGTTGTTGATATGTATTTGAGCACTGAAAAGTGATTGTCATTTACGAGCCATGATAATTCCTGGTACACTACCTCAAAAGGCCGTTCAAAACATAAAATCGCACCTGCTTTAGTTCACCGAGCCACGATATATACCCGGGCTACAACATGCTCAGGCCTTCAGACAACCTTCATCAGGATCCATTATTCCCGACAATATCCCGTCCGTGAATTAAAACAAACCCAACCAATTTCCTGAGCTCTGCTACATGGAGAAACCTTGGCGAGTGTATACAAAATTACAGCCATACACGCGATAACCAACTATGTAAGTAGAAAATACATCTGGCAGAACCATACCGCCTTCTGCCAACTTGCTTGAGTCCGAGTCAGCTCGTAACTTTCTCCTATCATCATCATCTCATTGCACAGACACCTTTACAAACCCATCAAGACCGCGTTAGTCGAATCGAGCCGAGTTAAGTCTACCCAAAACGCAACAATGGCAATCCCAGTCGAAAACGGCTACACAACCACCGCACCCCAATTCAAACCCGAATCCCTCCCACCACCGAAACAACAACAACCCCAGAAACCCCAATCCAACACCAAATCATCCAAAACAGAACACCTCCACACTCTCATAACAACATACATCAACCCCCCGGCAACCGCCGCCCTAAAATCCCTCCAAAAACACTTCAACGCCCACCCGCTCCTAACAACCTTTCTCGTCGCCCAATTCCTGACTTCTATTCTACCGATCCTCCTGTTTACAACTGGTGTGTTGACGGCTGGTATTGTTGCGGCGGGGTTATTTGCGTTGTTGGGATTATTGGTGTTAGGGCCGGTTTTGGTGATTACGGGGATTCTGGGGGTTGTGGCTTGGGGATGGGGGTGGGGGGTGGTTTTTGTGGGGAGGTGGGTTTGGGGTGGATATGTTGGGAGATATGGTGGTAGTGCTAGCAGTGGTTATAAGGAGGGGGGTAACATTAAGAGGGAGAATGGGATGTTCAAGGTTACAATCTAAGGTTGGGTTTGGATGTGTGTAACACGGTTGAACTGAGGGTTATTGACAACGTCTGAAGATCTCATTTAATGTCCTGTCCTGTTATGTCCAATATACCAATCTAGATTACAATGCAATATGCACATATTAATGCTCAAAAAAACAGCTAACGCCTCTGCTTCCTCTTATGCGCCTCCGCCCACTCACACCACCGCCGAATAGCCCCATCAACCCACTGCAACGCCTCCCGCTCAGCCGAAACCTCAAACCACTCCTGATGCTTCTTCCCGCAGTCCGGACAAGGCCCCATGTCCCGAATGCGAAGATCCCCCAACTCAATATGAATCAGATGCTCGACGCGATGCACAAAGGGGACTTTCTTCTCCGTTGCACTGGCGGACGGAGGCAGCGACGACATCTCCGTGTACGGGTAATACCGCAGCAGGGTGAGATCGTTCGAGCATTGTTTCGTCCACTCGTTGATACGGCGATGAACGTTGTTCGTCCGTCCGATCTTCAACCGCACGCTACCCGGGGTTTGGTCTGTGGGGTTGGTAGCGAGCGCGTTGTGATCGCGCGCTGCGCGGATAGCGTCGCGAATACTGCGGATTTGGTCCGGCAGTTCTCGGTTCTCGGCAAAGTTGGCGAATAGCGAGGAGCCGATTTCTGCCGGGGGAGGGGCGGATCTGGAGCTGTCTGTGGGAGTGACCCAGAACATGTAGATATAGCCGTCTTCGTCTTTGTCTGAGACGGGTTTTTCGATTTCTGAGAGGAGCTTCTTTTGTGTCGCGGGCGATAGAGATGAGGGGATCCAGCGGGATTGTCCTGCACTTGGACGTGTAGTTGGGGGCTTGGATGAAGGCCGCGATTGCGATTGCGATTGCGACTGGACGGGCCTGGGTGGTGGTGTTGGCTCGTCGTCGCCGCCGCAGATGAGATTGAAGCAGCAGCAAAGGAGGCCTCCCTTTGATTTGGATTTCTTGGGTGGCGCCTGGGGATCGTTGATATTCAGTCGCTCCATCAAAGTGTCGACGCTGGTTCTCGACTGCGCTGCATAGTTGGTCGTTGCATGCGTGGTTGCAGGTGCAGATGCTGCTGCGGCGGCGGCTTGATCCTGGTGCTGCCAGCAGTAATACTTGGCTGGGCCAGTTTCGTCGCCCGCCAGTGGCCGGCGACAGGGTCGACCGTTGCCCGTGAGGCCTCTACATGTCGTAGCTGGATCCAATGAATCGGTGCGCTGCATAGTACTGGAGGCACGAGGCATTATGCAAGATACCGAACAATTTCCGATCGGAATGTGATAGAAAAACGATAGAAAGAAAACCAATGCAATGCAATGAGGAAAACGATGTTATATCAGTGACAGCTGAACAACAATCAGGCCTCTCTAAAATTAAGCGGAATATTCCACTTCACTGTCGGGCTGCCAAAGAATCACCAACTCAAAGGTGCCGGACACTCTTTCAGTCCAAAACAAAAGTCCCTAGAGAAAACCAATGCCACCGGGACACGAAGGAAACTGACATGGACACGGGACACGGTCTGCAGCGACTTTTTGTATGCGGAGTTTCGCATTGGCGTCTAGCGTGCACAAACGCTGCACCGCCTCGGTGGCTGGGCTGAAGCTGGCCCACAGCAATCTCACACATGTCGGTCTCGCCAGTATCCACTGATCGGAGGGGTTCTCACCAAAATAGCATCTTCGCAGCCTTATGATTACACCGAAACTCGTGCCTCATTTTGGACCTCTCGGTATTCCGTACTTTTTCTTCTCTTTGTTGTCGCCTCTTTGTTGAATAATATTTTCTTTATGCGTTCTTGTTCTTGACTACTAACCAACATAATCGAATCCCGCTCCGCGACACTTGACCCAGAAACCACGAACCACCTGAATGGCTTGCGCCCTACCATTCCTGGCGACTGTGAGTTGTGCAAGGAAGCGTTGTCTCTCCTCGGGCGATACAACAGGTTTCTGCTGTTCAGCTTGGCTAGCTGCCACGGCGTCAAGCGTTGCAATTAGGTGTGGGCGAGCTAGTCCCTGATACTTGAAAATGACCCTGCGAAGGACTTCAGAGAGATGGTCGAGGTCAGACCGCGCACATTGACCAGCAATCCGCGACATGAGAATACGGCAGAGCGCTGGAAGACAGTCTCGAATGGCTGTCTGGACTGGATCGGACGTGTGGGGAGTCACGCCGCCCGGAAGGTTGAATACGCTTATCCAGAACTGGGCAGCAGAACGAAGAGGGAGAGGCTCCTGTCCTTGCAAAGCAATGAGTGTAAAGTTCAAAATCGCTTGTAGGATCGGTGGCCGTTGTGAATGCCCACCCTCGTTTTGCCCTAGCTCTTGCGGCGTCATGGTAAGTGCAAACAAGAAAGGATGGTACTTGGGGATAAGGCGCGTAAGGAAGTCAATGCCACTGTTCGCAACCTCAGGATCATAGGATTCTGGCCTTTCATGCATCCAGCAGAAAGCGTCATACAGATGGACAATCAATGCGACAACTTCGTCTCGAATGCGCTGTGGATGGGCACTATGAGATGCCAGGAAGGCAGAGGCCGTCCCCATGACTACATCAGCCCCAGTGCTACCCAACGGGAGACTTTTAACGAAGTTGACAGTTAGTATCGGTGGGAAGACATATGGGCCAGTCTTCTCAGTATAACCGGCCTTCAGAATATCACAGGCCGCTTCAATCATGGTGATATCCAATGGGAAATCGGTCATCAAGAGCTGCATGCATGCCATGATCATGCTCTGTGCCGAGTTATTAGTATTCCAGAACGTCGGTGGGTAAGGGTCTCCGGAGTTAACGTCACTGGAGTCCAGTACGATCTCCCCGTCAGCTCGAAGACCCTTGCCAATACTCGCGAGACAGCGTAGCACCAATTGGCCGCGACTGATAGCAGGCTCCAGCAGTCCGTGGGAGACTTCTTCTCGTGCAACATCCGCTTGCTGCCGGAAGAAACGTAGAATTCTCTCGAGATGTTGCGCTTTTTCTTGCTCTGTGTGCAATGTCTGTATAATGGCCGCAATGCCCTCCAAGACCTTCTCCATAGTGAGGGACGTAGCAGTGGGTTTGAATTGAAATTGTTCAAACTGGCTCACGAATGCTGGCAGTTCAAACTTGAGTGCGTGGCGGCATGACTTACATAAATAAGAGATAGATTTGGACGCAGTCGGCGCACATGGACCAACTTCAAGCGACGCAAATAAGAAAGTCAAGACGCTGGGCAGCAAATCGTGTGAGCGTTCAAAATACGACTTGTATTGTCCCAGCATGTCCACCAATGTCTGGCGAGGTGTATCAGGGATCGTTACACCCTCACCCATGCACAGTCGGGCAAATTCATCGCTGAAGAAAATCGCATTCAAGCATGTGTCAGCATGTTGGTTTTCATCGACAGCTTCGGAGAGTTGTGCCATGCAAAAGATCGCAGCCTCAAATGTTGTCCAATCCTGAGTCGCCAAAGATGATGTTGCACGTTGTTGAAGAACTTGGATCAACTCCACACCCAGCATGGGATAGACCGCAAGAAGAAAGTCGCAAACATCTCGCCGGAATACACTAAATTCATTGCGGTTTTCGCTATTCCACTCGCGCAGCTCCTCTTTGCTCGGGTATTTCAGCTTCTCAAAGCATTCGAGGGCAGCTTGAGCCAGATGTTGCTTGGCAAAGTTATGGCTGGGTTGCCCCTCCGCATCATCGATCACCATTTGCAGGTCATCAGCAGCTGCAGTCCACCATTCGAGGACGAGGGGTGATGCCGAATCGTCGACTACAGCAAAGCCCGGTGCTTTGAAAATGGTGTGGAGGAATGCAAGAACTTTCTCGTGCCGCGAATCCGACGGTCCTGAGAGTAGCTCTTCTTGTTTTAACGACGAATAGGCCAATAGAAGCTCCAAGAACGTAATGTTTTCGTCGTCAAAATCACCATCCATGATAGAGGAGACACAAGTGGTCCCAATATCGCCGACAAGGTATTCTAGGATGGTGTTGAAATGATCTTGGTCGAAGACGGAGTGTCGCGTTTCTATTAATTCGTTCAGAACTTGAGCAGCCGTCTTTGACAGATTGTCCACCCTCAAGCTTTCAATCACAAGGCTCGCTGTTGAAGCCAGTTGGGGTGCTGATATCATTTCACGAACTTGATTCACACCTCGAACAGACAGCCATGACTTGTGGGTTGAGTCAGTTTCCCGAGCAGATGTTACGGGTCAGCCTACTTACATTGTACGAATTGATGGCTTCTGTTCCCGGTGTGGCGTCAGGGACAGGGTTACCAGATGCCTCCCGCTGCAGAACATGGCGAAGGACAAATCCGACGAGACAAAGAGCATCCGCGATGTTCTCATTTACTCGTTTGTTATAGTCAGTTCCTTTGATTTCCGCGCTGCATTTATTGATTTCTTCTCCAAGGATGTTGGAAAACATGAGAAGTGCAACGATCTGGGTTTCGGACATTGCTGGAAGGATTGTGTTCCCCAGATCTAGTGACTGACATTGTTCCTCGGATAGGTGCTTGCCGTTTGCCAATGAAGCAGCAAGATTCCAGACGGCACGAATCCAAGGCGAATTAGGTTTGAGGAAGATGGTTGACAGGCTTGAAGCAAGTTTCCTAATCACAAGGGCTTGCTCCCCGCTGTTCACCAAGAAGACAAAATGGTCGATTAAGCGTCCAACTAGCTCCAGGGCCTCGCTCTCACTCAACTGTTTCCTGCAAAAATTGTCAGCAATCCCATAAACCGGGGTCCCTAGGAACCAGCAGCCAGAGCAACCACACACCAGTCTTGGTTGATTTTGACGGTAAACGTCAGTGCCCCGAAGAACCTCAAGTCTGTACCATTATCATTGAGAAGGCTGTTGGCGATCAGCCACGCCTGAGGGCTTTTCTGGAGGGTTTGTAATTGCTCTTGGATAAGCGTGATCTTGGGGGGATTGCCCGCATTTGCTGGGTCATAGAGCTGGGACACAAGCTATAAGACGGATTAGCGAATTGCTTTATATTAGGTGCTTTTCGCGCGGAAAAAAGAGGACTTACCGTCCTGGACTCATTGATGACCAGCTGCACATCCGAGGCCTGACCTAACCCATCCATAGACATGGCCGAAACACGAATGAACCGTTTCCGGTCGAGGAGAGAATTGGAGAACGGTGGAGTCTCGCAGTGGACTATCAGGAGGGACCGTCGACGAGCAGTCACGTGCTGATAACGCTATCACGGAACAGTCAGGCGGTGAGGAAGGTGGGATGGAGGGACGATGTGTTTGTGTATTTTTCGGAGACGAGATGAGACGAGACGTTGGAGAGATCTTAAAAAACCGTTTTGTTGGAAGAGGAAAGGATGGACGAATCCTGTGTCTATAATGCTAGTAATAATAAAGAATAAGCAAACACATTCGTCAGTCCTGCCCAGCCTGCAGGGACAATTCAGCTTCAATCCTAGCAAAACAACTCCGGTCAGCCGCCAGGATTCCGGCATTGTCTCTCCATCCTGCTAACCAGTTGATATTCTGGATATAATATTGTCAACCGGCCTGGGAATTCTGCAAGAAATGCAGACGGTAATTTGCATATCACATGGACTAGAGAGGGCTTATTGTGATTGTGAATGTGTTTCTCTGATTTATAGAAATGGTAATCAACGGTAATTACCGAAAATACCGGGGAGACAACTCATCCGATATCATTTCATAGCTTAATTCTTGCATCCAAGCCATCTCTCCATTTCTGGCAAAGACACGCGACAGTGCCTAACATTCTTGTCTAATCCCCCTCCTTCCCATACAGTCCTCACTTGTATCAGTGCAACGTCCGGCCAGACAAAGGGATTGGTTGCACTTCCAGAGCGGTCACCTGCATATCCTCACTTCCTTTTCCTACCTAACGTCGCCCACCCAAAATAGTCGATGCTTTTCTACCGCCCTCTGGCTCGCCTTTCTTGGATTTCTACTTTCAGATCGATTCGCAAGATACCCCTCCCTTGTACCAGGTTCTTTTCTACCTCTGTACCACGTTACACCGTCGACATGGGGCCCGTGGACACTTCCGAACGCTTGTCGAAGCTCAGGCAGTTGATGAGGGAGCACAAGGTGGATGTATACAGTATGACATCATATTCTATTCTTGATTATTGCAAGAAAGGAGAAATGGTCCTGACAATTCCAAGTCGTTCCCTCAGAAGATAGCCATCAGTCGGAATACATTGCGCCGTGTGATGCTCGTCGAGGTTAGAATGTCGCCCTTTTGCTACAAGACCGCTCGCGTGCGGCTACCAACCATCACCACTTACACCTTATCCTCGCAGAGTTTATTTCTGGTTTCTCTGGTTCGGCCGGCACTGCCCTTGTGTCCATGACCAAAGCGGCTTTGTCTACAGACGGGCGATACTTCAATCAAGCTTCCAAGCAGCTGGACCAAAACTGGGCTCTTTTGAAACGAGGGGTTGAAAATGTTCCGACTTGGCAGGAATGGTATGACACATGTTGAGTCAACCTGAGGTTCCAGAATCCGGAAACTGAATTATGTCTTAGGACGACCGAGCAAGCGGAGGGTGGTAAAGCCGTTGGTGTGGACCCGGCCTTGTTCACAGCTTGTAAGTGGAAGCGATTACGACGCACGGATTGGGCCGAAATGCTTACGCTCATATGATACAGCGGATGCGCGCAAACTCGCCGAGACCTTGGAGAAGAACGGCTCCTCGTTGGTGGGAATCCAACAGAACCTGGTCGACCTGGTCTGGAGCAAGGACCGGCCTGCAGCTCCAAGAGAACTGGTCAAAGTCCACCCGCTGAAATATGCGGGAAAGAGCTTCCAGGAGAAAATCGGCGATCTCCGTAAGGAGCTTGAGAACAAGAAGAAAGCTGGATTTGTTATCTGTATGGCTCTTTATTGGCCTACTATATCGCGTTAACTAACAGACGACAGCCTTGCTCGACGAGATTGCGTGGTTGTTTAACCTGAGAGGAAACGAGTGAGTCCACGAATTACCGGGTATGCTCAGCTGTCGCAGGCTAATGCAATATAGTATCCCATACAACCCCGTCTTCTTCGCGTACGCCATCGTCACACCCACCACCGCCGAGCTCTATATCGACGACGACAAATTGACCCCGGAAGTTAAGGCTCACTTGGGCCAAGACGTTATAATCAAGCCTTATGACTCTATCTTTGCCGACGCCAAGGCCCTTAGCGAGTCCAGGAAGCAGGCTGTAGGGGAGGAAGGTGCCAAGTTCCTGCTGTCCAACAAAGCCTCATGGGCGCTGAGCCTCAACTTGGGGGGCGAGGAACAGGTTGAGGAAATCCGCAGCCCTATCTCGGACTCTAAGGCTGTCAAGAACGAAACAGAACTCAATGGAATGCGGACTTGCCATGTCAGAGACGGCGCTGCTTTGACGGAATACTTCGCTTGGCTTGAAAACGAATTGATTAACAAGAAGTCGACCCTTGATGAAGTCGACGCTGCGGACAAGCTGGAGCAGACTCGGGCTAAGCACGACCTTTTCGTCGGCCTGTCATTCGACACCATTTCTTCTACCGGTGCCAACGCAGCGGTCATTCATTACAAGCCCGAGAAGGGGGCTTGCTCCATCATTGATCCCAACGCCGTCTACCTGTGTGACTCTGGTGCCCAGTACTTGGACGGCACCACCGATGTGACTAGAACATACCATTTTGGAACACCAACTGCACTTGAGAAGAAGGCCTTCACTCTGGTCCTTAAGGGACTCATTGGTATAGACTCTGCCGTTTTCCCGAAGGGTACAAGTGGATTTGCGCTGGATGTCCTTGCCAGGCAATTCCTGTGGAAGGAAGGACTTGATTACCTTCACGGAACCGGCCACGGTGTTGGTTCTTATCTGGTAAGGAGAAATACAGAAGATCTTGATTAAATACAACTAACTTTATCCCAGAATGTTCACGAAGGACCTATGGGTATCGGCTCTCGTGTTCAATATACCGAGGTACCTATTGCCTCCGGTAATGTCATTTCTGATGGTACGGCGCCCTGAGAAGTCGAACTACTTCAATTGCTAACGATATTAGAACCTGGATTCTACGAAGACGGCAAGTTCGGAATCCGTATTGAGAGTAAGTCCCTTCATTCACCTCCTGCTCAAAGCCTTGCAGATACTGACCCATCATCAGACATCATTATGGCGCGTGAAGTGCAAACAAACCACAACTTTGGCGACAAGACATGGTTAGGCTTCGAGCACGTTACCATGACTCCGATCGACAATAACCTCATTGAGCCGTCCCTCTTGTCAGATGTCGAGATTGAGTGGGTGAATAAGTACCACACGGAGATCTGGGAGAAGACTCACCACTTCTTTGAAAACGATGAATACACGCGGAACTGGCTCCAGCGGAAGACGCAACCTATCTCTAAATAAGGGACGGATGTATATAGACACGGCCATCATTACATTATGAATATCTCCATATTTTTTGGTTGATATCGAAGATTTTGATTATTAGGAAGCTAAGAGATAAGATAAATAAGCCAAAGGCAACTGCCCCGAAATCTGACATCTTACTGTCACCCAAATCGGCGTCATCCTAGAACTCCCACACGTGTTTCTCACTGTTATCATGATAAACAACCCCAACAGCATTCGCAGCTGCGTTTGCTTTGAGGAAAGTGGAAGCGTTGCGCGTCTCAGGGTTCATTGGATGTTCGTCCGAATCAAGTAACGACCTCTCGTTTGCGTCGTCCATCTGGAAAACAGGTCCGTCCTGAGTAGAATCTTGTCCAGGAGGCATTTTCAGCTGCATCAAAGTAGGCTGTGAATAGCAAGGAAGAGGAAGAGTAGGGAATATAAAGCGGCGAGATAGGGCAGTACTCCAGATATTTCTGCCTGAGGAATGCGGCAGTCAATCGGGATGTGGAGTAACTAACACCTGGAACTCCTGCAGGACGGGACCCCGGTCTTTCCAACAACCACTCTTGCTCGGGTTTGCGACGCAGATGGTCCCAGTCGCCTATTGAGACACTGCGTTGAGGATCATTGCATTATACCGCGAGACAATAATGCTCCAGCTGCCTCCTACCTGAATTCGCGCTAGAACACAATCCCTCGAGCACACGTATACGGCCCGCCATACTCTACGACGTAAACCGCACACTAGACGAGCGTACCGTCCGATTTCTATCCTTACCTACGTTTCCTAAGCGTCGAGAGGAGCGCGCGATTTGTTATGAGTGGCAGAAGTGGCTTCGCCAACGGATACGGGTATTCCGATGCCGGGGGATACGACCGCAGCGATGGCGGATATAGCAACTTAGGTGCCAATGGATTTGGAAGCAGTCGCTCAGGTGGATATGGTGGATTTGGCTATGAATCGCCGCAGCAGCCCTCCATTCTGCCCCCGACGCAATCGCCAGAGCGGCTCCGAGAACGAATGGATCGAGGTCGACAACCGCCGTCTTCCTCGCGATCGCGGACGAGGGAAGGGGACATGTTACATCCTACGAGGGATGGCCGGAGCCCGGGAGATGCGAGTTCTTATTCCGGAAAAAGCAGGGAGAGGGGCCGTTCGGAGGTTAGTGATGCGCCGGGGACGCAGGCGGTCGAAGGTATGAACATACTTCTTGGGGTTGATGGAGGTGTTTGCTTGGATACGGACTGCTAACTGGTTATTCAACCTATTCTAGATGTACTACGATCGATCCAGCGCGAGTGGGACTTCATGTCTTCCGACGATTGCGTACCAGTGCAGGTCGCTCTGAGCTTGATGGATACGAGTACTCTTGGGAAAGCTGATCGCGAGCCGGACTTTTTGGACATGCACGATCGGATTCAAAAGACGCTTAAGTCCATTGTGAACGAGCATCACCAGGGATTCAACAGTTCCATCGGTACATACCACAAAATTCAGTCAAATCTACAAAGCTCGCAGGGTCGGGTGCGTACGCTCAGGAGTGCGCTTGATGAGGCGAAAGCCGGATTGCTTTCAACCAAGCCCGAGTTGAAGGGGCTAGCGACATCTTCCCAGAAATACGACGATATCATTCAGCTGTTCAACCAAATTCAAGAAATCCAGTCGCTTCCAGAGAAGCTGGAGTCCCGGATATCCGACAAGCGATTCCTTGCGGCAGTTGAAGTGCTCCACGATGCGTTCCGACTTTTGCGTCGCTCAGAGCTCGAGAACATTGGAGCACTGGGAGACATTCGCGCCTATTTCAGCAACCAAGAAATCTCGCTTACCGATATTCTGGTTGAAGAGTTGCACGATCATCTGTATCTCAAATCACCATATTGCTCTGACCGGTGGAAGCCACCAGCGCCCGACAATGACGGCAGCGGGAATCCACATGCCTGGACTGGGAATGGATCTTGGGAAAGGCCCGTTTTTGGGTTCCTTGCTAAATTAGATGCTTCCTCACCTTTGGTCGAAGATGCGTCCCGGAACCCGGAGGCTGATACCTTCCAGTACATTCGGTTACTGATTGAAGCCCTGAACAAGATGGGCAATTTGGATATTGCAGTCAACCAGATCGAGCAGCGACTTCCCGTGGAACTTTTCACCGTTGTGGACAAGACGAACGCCGAGATCGATACACGGTATCCTAGCTCCCCTGGCGGCTTCGCTCAAGAAAACACGACCGACTCGCCAACGGAGGCCATTGAGAAGCGCGGTCATGTTCTGGCAGAATATCTGTGGACATTGTATTCCAAGTTTGAGGCGATTGCTGAAGGTCATCGTGTCCTGCATGATGTGATTGCTGGTATTGTTGAGCGCGAAGGGATTCCCAAGGGCAGTGCTCTTTCTGGTGGTTTCAAGGAGTTGTGGAAGCTGTACCAGAGCGAAGTAAGTGCCCAAATGTACTTCATTTCTGCTTTATTCTGACAAATTGCGTCAAAACAGATTCGGTCTCTTATGCACGATTACCTGGCTACGGATGGAGAGTCGTCTATTCGGCCAGATGAAACTGACAATAAGCGCCATATTTACAACGGCCAAAGAGATAAAAATAAGGTGAGTTGAAAATGTTCAAGTTGGATCCCTTCAATGCTGACCGTTCTAGAAAATGTTCAAACTGTCCGAAATCGGCCGTAACACGGAGATGAAAGCTGAGCAAGACGAATTGGATGAGATTATCCAAACATCAGTCCCCGGTCTGGTATCCAAGTCGAGGCAGAGAGCAGTCACCATGGACAACTCGCAATCAAGGCAAGGGAATTCTGGAACTGGACACAAGATTCTCATCGAACCGAGCGTGTTCAACATGGGTCTCCTTCTCCCTCCATCCCTTCAATTTATCCAGAAACTCAAGGATATTGTTCCGGTGGACTCGGAAATCGCTATGAGCACCTTGACCTCTTTCTTGGACGATTTCCTTGTTCACGTCTTCCTTCCTCAATTGGACGAGACCGTCACGGATCTGTGTACGCTCAGCTTCATTGCGCCGGACGCATTTACTGAAGACCCTCACTGGTCGAAGGTGTCTCCTCGGCCTATTTTCAAGGTATGTGCCCTTATGTCAGAGTCATCTTAGGCAGAGGCTAACAGTGACAGGGTACGGTCAAATTCATGTCTATCATCAAGGAGTTCAGTAAAATGCTGTCTAGTATCCCTCACGACCCAGCATTTACGCAACTGGTGATTACCCAGATTGTGACCTTTTACGACAAGTGCTTTGGATGGTACAAAGCAATCGTGGCCAAGGTCTCACGTCGGGCTGATGCCAGTGTCCAGCTCAAAGCCGCTGCATCGTACATTGAATCAGGTGTCATTCGAGATGTGGTCAGCGAACTGAGGGCCGGAAGTGGTAACAAGTCGGAACTCATCGACAAGGAAACCGACCTCCTTATCAAACGCACCGATGAAGTGCCGCTAGAACCATACGATATCATATCCGACCCGAAGACAGTCGCTGCCCTCTCTCTCCTTCACAACAGCATGGTAAGCAAATCTCACACAAACCATATTCAACGCAACTAACAACCCCCAGCAATGGCTCTCAAGCCACCTCACCAAACTCCGCAAAATAACAGCCCCATCATCCGACTCAACCCAACAACACTCCCGCGCCCACACCTCCGGCCCAGCCCCCCGCCGCTGGACCCTCGTCGGCGCCGCCATGAAGCCCAAACACGACCACCTCAGCCAACAACAACAAATCTACCTCCCCCTCAACACCGAAACCGCTCAAGCCTTCGACACAACCCTCCAATCCCTCCGCGACCTCGCCTCCAGCACCCTTTTTGCCCTCCACGTCGACATCCGCTGCGGCGTCATCCACATGCTCACCCGTACAATGGCCGGCCCCAACACCCAAGCAGGAAGCCGAACCTCCGAACCAACAACCCCCTCCCCCAACACAGACAACAACTGGTGGCACATCATCGCCAACCCACCCACCGCCGCCTCAGCCACAGTCCTAGAACTAAACAACGACCTCATCGCCTTCGACACAAACGTCTCCGCATCCCTGGGGCCCTCGGAACGCTGGTTCATAACCTCCGGGCTTGCCCGCTTCATCGACCGCACATTCGTCTCCTGCACGCGACACATCGGCGCGATGAACGAAAACGGCGCCCTACGCCTGCAACTCGACGTCCTCGTCTTACAACAAAACCTCAAAAACATCATAATCTACCACCCAGACCACAACCCACTCTCCTCGCACGCCCCCGAACCAGACACAGAGAACCACCAACCCCAAGAAACATCAGAAGAAGTAGTCGCGCTCCCTCTCAGCGCGAAATTCCTCGACTGGTTCCTCGAAGGCGCGGTTAAAGCTCTCGACTACGCAAAGGAAGAGAAGGAGTCATTTACGGCGGATAGTGCCAAGGCGCTGGCGAGTGGGAACGGGGAGCCGTTTACATATGATGAGTTGAGGGTTTTAGTTGACTTGTGTTTCTCGGATGTGTTGCGTGGGCCTCGCGGGGCGGAGGATCGGGAGGGGTTTATGGCTGCGAAGAAGGCGAGTGCGGATGCGTTGTTGAGGTTGAATGAGGTTATGTGGGATTCGAGATGATTTTTGTTGTGCTTTTGAGGATATGAATGTGTTTGCAGACTAGCTTGTTAGATAGCATACTAGTAATTGCTCATTTACCACTGAAACTACAGTAGAGTTAACCGAAATATTATTAAGCCAGCCAGGCAAACCGCAATAAATCCATAAGTCAACTTGTAATATTCCGATAACCCAAGCTCCGTTGCCCGGGATGAACAAACCCCAGCCGTATTTCGCCAGCCCATAAACAATAACATACAGAAGAAATCAGAGTAAAAGAAACAATCAAAATAAGAAACCCACCCCAGGCTAAGAAAAGAAAAAGGGAAAAAGCGCCCTATGTCCACCCCTGGACAGGGTGTCGTCCACCATCAACTGTACCGAAACCAAGTAACAGCAAAGTCAGACCGCGAGGAACACGAAATAAATCGAAATAAAGGTATGTCCAGATCTCAGCCCCGAAATGAACAAGTCGTAGCACATGCATGGTGGAAACCCCACCTAAAATATCCGAAAGCAACAATTCAAGCAGATAAAGGAATCAGCCTTGGCCTTGGTCAACTTCGAGCGGCCTGAGTTCATCGGATTCATTATAATCCTCGAACTGAAGACCTGCATCCTGACACCGGTGTATCCATTTTTGTGCGATTTCTCCACGTCGGTTGACTTCGATCTTCAATTTCGAGTTTTGCGCGCTAACTTCGCTGACCGCATGGTGCGTGGTCATGTTGGTTTGTTCCCATCGCTCCTGGATTGTTCTCTTCTCATCGATCAATTGGTGAATGTACTCGATCGCGCGTTGCAGGATGGCGCCCTTATTCTTGTCGCAGTTTGGGACGAGACGGGCAATCTGATTGATGCCCTCGTTGATCGCCTCACGGCGTCGACGTTCCACTGCCAAATTTAGCATTTTTCACAAAAGAATACAGGATTAGACACGTACCCTCTTTGTGGTTGTTCTTGCGAACTTGATGCCACTCAGGAGAGCCAACTGAAGGCTTCGAGTTCATGCTCTGAGCCTCGCGAGCTGCATAAACCGCCGCAGCGGTGGAGTTGTGGTTGTGACCACCACCAATCCCCTGGCCAATGTCATCGCCAAATGATAACCCATGGGTCAGATTGTTGGTATCGAAGGGTGCATCTGGCGGAGCGGGGTATTTATTCTGAGGGGTGTGAGCAGCCAAGGCGGCCTTGGCCGTTAGAGCGCTGTCATCTGGGATGCCGTTTTGCGTCCCGACATGCTGCAGAATCTGCTGGTCGATGTTGAGCTCTGATGACGAGTTCGGAATACCGTGGTCGTTTGTGTTGGGAAGATTGTGGTCGTAAGAACCGAGGGAGTTTTGCTGAAAGTTGGACTGGTCGGAGCCTTGGATGCTGCCATTACTTGCATTAGAAGAGCGATTGCGCTGAGGCTCGGGGCCAGCACTGTCAGTGCTTTCCCGCTTTCGCTTATTTGCGACATTGTCCGAAGGTGGCATGGACGGTTCAGACATGATGGCTGTAGTGACCCAGCTACTGAAGCTGGTTTGAAATTTCTAAAAGTCCAAATTAGTTTTCACGTTCATGAAATCAAGATGAGCAAGTATAAGTCCAGTGATGAAAAGCACCAAGGTAGTTGTGTGGTGCGGGTGTAAATAAAAGACGCGTTGGGTGAGACGCGCATCTCCGCATCGCAGCGGATGGGCGGCTCTCCAAGCAAACCACCATCTCTCAGAAGTACAGTCGAGCAAGATGAATAGAATCAACATTTCTTTTTCAGTCCCAGAGCCTGTGTGTCAACCACGTCACGACCGGCCAGACACGGTCGGAACACAGGGAAACACAGAGCGGGCAGTCGTCATCACCACAACCCACGAGAAATCACAGAACCGTGGCAAACAGGGAATTCATCGGGATGCCTTGTAAAAGGCATCGAGATGATAGATTTGCAGAATATGCAAGAGATTTCGCAGCCCACGGAGATATGAAAAGGAAAAAAGAAGGAAAGGGAGAAGGGAAAGTCCGTACCTTGGGATATCACCTGACAACAAGTCACCTGCTCACGGGGAACAACAAGAAGCGAAAGTCGTCTAAACGCGACTTCACTTCGCAAAGATCGGGAAAAAACGCGGATTTCAAGCACGAGAATGGGAATAACCCTCGAAACGCAGCGAACCCGACGAGCCCAATATCAAATCAAAGAAAGGGATACTCTTGGAAGGTGAGTTGATTGAGAGTTCGAGTAGAGCGACTCACGTGGGCGAGATACTGCCTGCGGCGGGGGGGAGGGACCAGAGGCGCAGTCACCTGACCATCTCACATCAGTCTTGTTCTGCGGCAACCAACAATATTCCACAATATTTTTGACCACTGATTCGTTTCTCTCAACTTGCTAAATATTCACTATTTATCACAGCCTCTCCTCCCTCCTTCTCGACCTCGAGTCATGTGCTCTGATCCCGTGCCCCTCCTCAGCAGTCCATTTCGCCGCTCTGATTGGCTGGTCGTCTTCGGGTGTCGGGGAGGGGTTCACCCGGAGTCACGTGTGATTCATACAATAAAGTACGACACACGTCTCCGCTGTATAAACACCCCGAATATTACTCTGGAAAGGCACAGAGTACCCTGGTAGGCACATTGGCATCGCTGTCAAGTCTGCCGGCCCGGTATATCATGGTCTGTGCTGAGGATTCGCTGCACTGCCTGATGACCGAGTACGGAATGTCCACTACAACACCATACAGAACTACAAACAGAGTACAGTTTCCGTGACTCATGGCATGCGCGGACTACGGCGGCTATTGGTAATTGACAAATACCGGAGCCTATCGAAGAAGTGCCCTGGGCACGGAATACAACCCAGTTCATGCGAATTGACTCTCTATCCAGATCTAAACTGTAGATCTTATTATTCGAAAGTCGATATTCTTTCGCTATTGGGTTCGTTATTTGATCAGAGCCATCACATGCTTTGGTATAAACTCGTACCAGCATTTTTGTGGGCGCTTTTATGCAAATGATCTGAGGTAGTGCAGCGTCACATGGCTGCAGCATGTGACCCTTCCAACGTCTTTCCATACTTGAAAGGAAACGGTTGTATTTTCTTTCGGAGCACTCTGATGATAGTGTCCTCGATAAGGAGAGCAACTAGACACCAAACGCTTCCAGACAGTCCTCCACCTCAGTCCGCCACAACCCAACTTCATCTTGTCTCTGCCCCCAAGGACAAACCTCGATAATCGCCCGCAAATACGAAATCCCATTCTGCATAGTCTCCTGCAGCGAAGAAGTATAACCTGGCTCATCAAGCAGCAACTGACCCACCCCCCGAGCCCGGCATCGCTTTTGGAAGATCGCTCGTATCCGCTTCTGCTCCGCCACGGCGCGCGCGTTGCGCTGCCCGTTCCACAGGAACGCCCGAGAAGGATCCCACCGCTGGATAGGGACGATACCGGAGAACTCCCAGTCGAGGATGCCGGTTATGCGTTCGCTGTATTCGTCGTACATGATGTTGGCCATGTGGAGATCCTTATGGGCTAGGACGTAGCGGGTATAGTTTAGCTTTGGATGACGGGCTAATGTGTTCACCAAGGCGTCCAGGCGGGGTAAAAGGTCCCTGTACGGCTCGAGGGAGGAGTGCAAGCGGATCGCATGCTGATAGACACGAATCAAAGCTGTGATGTATGCGGTATAGGACTCGTACGGGCCGTGGATGTTGAAGGTTTCAACCGATTCAGACGGGAAATGCTTGGCAATATCCGGTGCCTGCCAGTAGGTCTCTTCAAGAATGCGACCTGGAATAACCTCACCAGATCCTGGGGCTATGGTGAGCCCCGAGACTCCGTCCCAGGAGCGATGATGCAGCTGCTCCACAATATCAATGATCTGATCGACAATCTGTTCCAGCTGCTCCTGCGAGAGACGACCGTAGATTTCGTGCAGAGCCGTGCCACGAACGCGCTCTAGAACAGTAAACTCATGCTGCAACACGTTGTTAGAAGTGACATCGAACCGAATCACCTCTGGAACAGGAACGGTCGTATTCTTCCGCAGCCAGTTCATCACAGCCACTTCATTTTCCGTCTTGATGCGGGGAATGTGGTGGCCTGCCACTCAGAGTACTAAATCAACAGGGCCTTTAGGGGAGATAGGGCGCAGATTAGGCGAGATGGCCTTTGCGTCGTCGGGATTGAAAAACAGCACATAGATGGAGTGGTACTCAGCCGTGACATTCAGGGATTGGATGGAAATGGGATTCGGGAGACGCTGGGAGAGGGCAAAGGCGCGTATAGTATCATTGCTAAGAGTGGGAGGAAGATAATCAGCTAGACTTGCCATGGTTTCTAGTTCTTGACAGGAGAAGAAAATAATTGCTGTTCTTTGTACATGGGAAATGGTCAGGTGATATAAAATCATGTGACAGTGAATGACCACCTCCCTCAAAATCTGTTTGAATTTCCTACTCTTTCCCTGGTTTGCTGTTGAGAATTACAGATAACTTCCACACCTAGCCCCGATGAGATCCAGCCACCGCGTTCAAAAGCATGCTCCATACCTACAGTGGCTATGTACTGGCGATCCGTACAAGAGCCTAGGTCTGAAATAGAACAGCTTGTGAAGAGCATATAAAGAGTATGATGAGATGATTTTATATAAACCAACAAAAGAACTACTTATGGGTTTCGGTGCAAACGTACGAAGTGAGCATGATCATGAAAATGCTCCATTCGAAACATGCACTGACAAGGAGTTTGACCACAGACCTGAAGAGGAATTCCAAGATTTCGAATGCCGAAAACTAATAACAAGAATACTACTGGCACTTCAAATTTACGAGAATCAGACGAGTCATCAGCGAAAATCTCCGCTGTGCGACATTCAATGCCCTCAAACCAGCCATTTTATATGGAGGCTTGTCCTAGGCTCTTTATAAGGTGCTGTATTTGGAGTCTCAAACAGCCGTGAAACATCTATGTACAAATGACTGGTTATACGAGAAAAAGGTGAGTTTTTGTCAGTCAGATTCACCACTGGTAGGTGCACATTCCAATTTCTTCACCCACCTGCCAATACCCTAGCTCTAGGTATTGTTATTATCTTTTTGCGGACACGACTCGTTCTGAGGTACATCGCGCTGCTGGATCTTGCCATGGATATCAACAAGTCAACTTTCTACGCCCACTCGCTCCTCGGAGGGCGATACGTCGCCTCTCGACGATCATTATTAGAAGCTTGTCAAGCGATATTTCCCCGATTTTGTTGCCCCGGGCATGCCATTCTATTCCCAGAATTTTTTGTAAAGGGAAAGACAGGAGGTGAGGTGATCGACTTCTTAGAGTCTAAGAAATGGGACATAGAGCTACTCAGAAACCGTAATCGCCTAGTCGAACATATGGAAAGATTTCAGGAGGGAGGGGGGGCGAGTATGATCGATACAGGGCAGTTATGGACACGGGCGCGTTCGCCAATAATTCATACTTTGAGAATTTTCTGGGCAAATTCGAGCATCTGGCCGCCAGATAGACATAGACAGAAGTGATGAAAACCCTGAGAACATCCTGCCTTCTCAGGGCATCTAAGGCTTTACAATGTGGATGCAGACAGTTTAATTGTCTCCAGCGACGGAACTCGATAACCACTGCTGACCCTGTGAGCCTCCCACTTCTTGACAATTGGTTTCCCTTGCACCGCCTTGCGGCCCTGTGCGACGCAGCTGCTGACCAACCTGGGTTCGAATATGAAAATGAAGATGATGACTGGTAATCACCCCGCAGGGACGAGGAAGAAGGCTATGGTTATGCAGGTATATTTAGTTCCGAGGAGCTTGCTGGGGTATTGTGGAATTGTGGGAAACAGGCTCTTAATGCTTGCGACGAGTTTACGAATTTGTATGGTTGGGAAAATGTTCTTACGACAGGTTAAACTTATTGATTATATCACTCCCACACTTGGATGACTACATCATTCAGCGTCATGTACCTAGTCTCTGATAGCCTATGTCGTTGCCTTTTTTTGGCTGCTAGCCTGTTTATGTTTACTATAGTTGTCGTAATACAGCTATTAGGCAGATATGTAGGACATAGAAATGCATACTACCGATACATACCGCTGGGGGTACATTTCTATGTCATATCCTCTGAACTCACCCTTTCTTAAATTCCATCACTGACCGAAACACCTATGTCAACGCTATAGAACATGGCAACACAAGAGCCCCAGGATAGGTGCTTAGTGCCCTACGGTCCAGTTCCTGAAACCCAGACCATATATGTCTAGATGGGCCCATGCACCTGGCATGGTTATTATGGGAACTACAATTGTTCATACACTTCCGGAACTTGCGCCTCGGGGTTTCAATGATACTCTGGCTCAGGGAATATGTGAAAAATGCTTGCATCCAATGCACGCGCATGTAGATCACCAGGATACTATTTGTTAGTTCCTCACTTACACCTTTCATGACTGTGCTAACAGTTATTGCGCACTTAGTTGATCCCAAGGTTCTGTCAAGAATGACTGACCAAGCCTTTCTGTAAGTTATCGTTACAAGCAATACACAGGAATATTCTTATTGGTAATCACAGAAATTCCTGCTTTTCTTGCCCCTTGAACGGAATTGGTCGATGAGTTGATAGCACGACTCCAATATTATCATATCATTCGAGTGCGCAGCACACCGGCCTCCGGAAAGACAACCCTGATGAGACTCGTGGCAAACAAGCTGTTTGAGACGCATGGCAAAACAACACCTATCCATGTTCTTACAGGTTGGAAATATGATCAGCCTCGCAGTAACTGGAAAAAGATATCTAGAGAGGATGACAGATGTTCACGGCAGGTCGTGGCTTGTCTATTCAGGCTATTTGCTTATAGACGAGGCGCAAACGACATACTCGGATAGTTCGCTTTGGTCAAGCTATTTCAAAACCATCGAGCCTTGGTGTGGTGGTCCACGCGTTATGCTATTCTCAGCCCACTTTTGCACAGAAGACCGGGAAACCAAAAAGGCTCTCGAATACATCAATTACATCGGGTGGCTACACGAAGAGAAAACAAAGGAAGGTCGTCGTCGTTTTGTATTTGCAAGTCCAATCCACCGCTGGTGAGTACCTCTTCCTGCTGTTTATACTTGCTAATAACTTGCTTTCAGGTACTGCCACACGCTCCTCTCCATGGATATAGAGTCCACCAGCGAGATTCACCACAGCACATCGCTCAAGCTGGCAGTTGATGCTATTATGAAGTTCAATCTCTCCTAGGCACAAGATTATCAGCAAGAATTCTTCCGCTGTCTGTTCACGATACTTGATGGTCATTTTGTGGTGTCCCCCGAGTTCATGATCAAACCGGATATCAAAGGTGGTCCGATTGACTTTTATATTGCTCAAAAAAAAAAAAAAAAAAAAAAAAAAAAAAAAAAAAAAAAAAAAGGGTCTGGGAATTATAGAAGACTGCGACCGCTTGGGCTGGTATATGGAAAGGATTGAACATGGTGGTCAGTTCCAGCCCATGCAAGAGTACCTTGTCTTGAATTTCACAACTTCACCGCCGACGGAGACCTGTCCAGATAACACTCCATTTCCCTATCGTTAGATTTTACTGACATCTTCCTTAGAATACCGGGAACGCCTATACCACATAGTTTTCTGGGCACAGTATCAACAAGTCGTGGTCGTCAATGCCGATTTGAGAACAGTGAACATCTTCGCTTTGCATGAGGACCCTGAACATAAGTGTAATCGGGTGTTTTGTGGCTAATTAACTGTGTTCTACCTTGCTTCCCTAATACCCCCGGGTTCTAGAATGCTTAGCTTCCCTCCTAGTTCTAGGTATTTTGAATTGACAACGTGGCATGGATACTCAATTTTCATAAAGATCTACATTCTCATAGATAGCTTCATTATGGGGACTAAAAGCATTAGAGGAGGCAAGTAGAACAGGAGAAGGATAGCAGGGATGGTAGTCTAAGCCGAGATTCAGCCTAGGCCACACCCACCCTGCCCCGAAAACACAAGGAGAGCGCTCTTCCGAGGCTCAAAAGCCCTGCGCATACAGGCGGCTTGGGGCGAGGAAAAGGATCAGAAAGATTATAGAAGGATGTTTGCCTCAGGAACTCATAGGGACAAGGGGCTGCAGGTTAGCTGCCGGCCTTGGGTTCATGGAATATGGTCTATCATAGCTTTAGGGCTCGATATGGATAATAAAATTGATTAAATAATAATAGTAGATAGCTTCATTTCTGCCTTTTCGGGCTTTAAAATGCATCTCTTATCGCAATGCGGGGCCATTAATTACCCAAAAGAATCCACTCTCAGCCATCCACCTGCCCATCCGGCTACCAATTGACTTAATCTACACGCCAATCAGAGCCACCAATTCGAACTACATAGTAGGGCTAGTTAAACCAATAAAACCGGCTCATAGATATAAACTTTTCAGCTGAGAATTCTCTGAGTCAAGCTATAAATTAGGCTTCCCCAACACCCGGGATTAAATCTCAATCACCTTTGTTTATCACTCCGTACTCCGTACTGCACAATGCCGTTCCTATACTAACCCCGAAGCCGCCGCTTCTTCGAGAACATTCCCTGTCCGCCCGACTGCCAAATCCCAACAGGAGACAGCCAAGCCTACGGCCTCCACCCGGAGCACCGCTGGGTCTACAATAAACTCACCATTACCGAGCTCCAGAATATCCCATGCGGTCCTCACAAGACATACCCGCCAGTGAATATATTCCCCATCTTCAGCAAGCCAATCTACAACCTCGGCGGCATGGGCGCCGGATCCCGAACCATAGAAACAGAAGACGACTATTGAGCCTCCGTAACCCCAGGCCACATGTGGTCCGTCCTCCTGCAGGGGGAACACTATAGCACAGACATCGCCGTGGTAGCCGGGAAAGTAGTTTGGATGAGCCACGCGCGAGGAGAAACGCAGCAGACGTTCGATTATTGGGAGATAAACGTGCCTATGGAGCCTAGTATTCGGCAGTGCATTACCGAGTTCGTCGAGATGCATCTCCGGACATTTACGGGGATGTTGAACATGGAGACTATCGAGGAGAAGAATTGATTTCGTTCTCGCAGACTTGATATCTGTATATAGCTGGTTGGATAAACAGCACAATCCTTAAAAGTCGATCACTGGCCACCCTTCACGAGGCTAAAAACCATCTCTGGATCCTCCCCCGTATCCGCAAAACAAATCCCCTCCTCTGTGGCACCCATAAGATCCCAACACAGAATTTTAACATCGATCCCATCTCCATCTTCACCAGCAGAACCAGCCCTCTGCGAAAACCCAAGCACAGCACTCGTCCCCGCATACCTCACGGGCTCCTTATCCTCCCCATGCCCCTCCTCCTCACCAACTCGATTCGCGAAAACAACAATCATCCTCTTCTCCCCTTCATCTTCCCCACCAAGATCACTCGAATGCTCCATATGCCGTCTAAACAACGGCATAAGCCTCTGAACCCAGTAATTAAACGTCCCGAGTTCCGGCTTCGTATGCAACGTCTGCAACTCCTCGCGATCTGAATGCGTCAACCACGCCATCGACAAAATAACCAACTGCGAGCGCGTGTCCAGGATGCGGTTCGCAAATTCCCATGCTGTCCAGGGTGCTTCGAAGCGGTAGGGGTTAATGTCCATGCAGATTCCAAACGACGTAGCAACCTCCTGCTGCTGCTGACCCTGACGAGGAAGCGAGATATGCCTGAAACCACGCTTTGCATCACCCTCCGCAGCCCAAGTCTCATCCGTATAATAGAGGAAAGTCTTGCGATAATTCGCAAGAATCTCCCCCTTCTCATCAACAACAAGCAACGAGTTATAATACGTCTCTTTCCCCCCTTCCTCACCACTCCTCTCAATCTCAACCTCCGGATACCCAACGCAAACCTTACACCCCAGCTTCTTCGCCGTCTCTTTCGCCCAAATACCACAAGGCCCCATCCCCGCTTCCTCAAGATACGGCTTAACAGCCTCTAGATTGGGAAAGTTATATCCCGTCAATGCCATCTCCGATAGGACCAGGATATCTGGGTTTAATTCTTTAATTCCTTTCCCGAGAGTAGTTCCGCGGCCTCCATCTTTCAGCAGGCCATCTGCCCGCTTGATGTTCCCCGCTGTGTCGCCGAGTTTGGCGGAGAATTGGAGTGTGGCGATTTTCATTTTGTTGATTTTGATTATTTCTTGGACTTTGTAGAATGTATTGTTATGGTGGGGAGGTATCAAGGCCGGGGGGCCGGACCTGATTTGTGTATTCGTTGAATTCACAAGACGGAGAGTGGGATGGTTGATGTTCGATAATGCGGGGTGAGTAAAGCGAGGATCAAGATATTTTCGGATAATACTCAGGTACTTTTTGAATAAAATTTTGGTGATATTGTGTTCTTTCAATTGTTGTTAGATTGAATGTTTGTCCAAACTTGCATGATGACATTTAAATCCGGAGGATAATGAGGTCATGTGACCCATATGCCTTATCAGGAAATCGAGTATGAGAGGTGTATACACAGTTCATTAATGCAATATGTTATGCAATCCCACAGCGCCATGCAAGTATTCAAATGTGTCTTGAATAAGCGAAATAGAAAAATCAAATCCTCGACGCCACAAACAATGCAACTGATATCACCAAAGCCCAGATATCCAAACAGGCCAATTAAGCAGGTAACGAAAAAGCAAGAAAAAAAAAGCAAAGATATAAACACCGGATCCACATCGCATAATCCCAATATGTATCGCTAACGGACTACCTCTCCAGAGACTTCCGCTTTTTCTCCGGCGTAAAGTCCAACGGCTTATATGCCAGTCCTTTACCACCAGTAAGTCGCAGTCTTTGTTCCGTCCGAGATAAACTCCGACCCAATCCCAAGTCTGCATCAGGTGCAAGCGCGAGGTCATGTCCATTGACATGGTGGTGGGATGAATACGAAGGCGATTGACTCCCCGAGAGCGGGGGCATGGACGAGGAGAAACTGCTTGCGGGACTAAACGAAGAACGAGGCCGTTCGGTGTGGTTGTGATTGTAATAACCGGGCCAGCTGTCTGACAGTCGAGGCCCGCTTCGTAACGACTCCGCAGCGATGCGGGCTGCTGATAGGAGAAGTTCGTCCTCGTCGATTTTGTTGTATTTGAGCTCTGGTTCCGGTTCCACGGGTTTTCGCGCGGTCGTCGACTTGACCTGTTCCAGGATAGGAAGCGTAGGCAGTGGCTTAATTGACGATAAAGCCATCGATGTTTTGCGAGGCGTTGGCTCCTCAGACTTGAATATCTTCGATGCTTTAGGGCCACTGCTGGTCGGTCGCGGCTCTTCCGGCTCCTCGAGAACCCGTTTCCGACTGGAAGGTTCTCCACGTCGTCTGGAGGCGGCTTCTTGCAGGGTCTTCAACCAAGCATCGCGTTTCTCGGCTGCATCTGAAACTAAACAGGTCAGCGACATAATGACAGCACAGGTGACATTAAGTGGCATACCAATAGACGCTTCCTCGTCCGCAGCAGGCTCAGCAAGTTTTGTCGTAGGCTCTTCTGGCTGTACCGGCGCTGGGGGTAGCGTGGTCGCGGACTCCTTGACACTCCCAGAAACCGACGGCGCACGCTCAGGTTCTGCAGGCGGCGCAAGGTCAATCGGCTTAAGCGCAGTCTCTGCCGGTTCAGCCGCTGTCGATTCCTCCGTAACACTTGGTCGTTCCATTGGAGTCGCACTCTCCTTCGGCGCAAAGATTGAGCTCGCTGGGGTGATTGTTGCGGCTGGCTTAATTGGCGAGAAAATAGACGGCGCTTTTATACTGTTAGCAAACAATGGATCAACAATGAATCGGATTGTCTATTGTCATACCATTTTCTTTCGGCGCGAGCAATGAGGGTGTCTCCTGCGCGGGCTTCGAGACATTTGTCTGAGCCTGAGTACTAGGCTCTTTGGGGGCAGCACTCGGACCAGGGAGGTTAAATAAAGAGTTTGTGCTTCCCGAGAAACTAGATGGTTTAGCTGTGTCAAAAACACTCTTGGGAGGCTGTCCAGCAGCGACTCCCGGAGTCTGTTCAGTCGAAGTCGGAGCCTTGAAGATACTAAATGGTGAAGAAGCGGGGGCAAGTTGAGAAGTGCCAGGAAAAGCACTAGTAGTCGACTCAGAGGAAGTCGAAGTTTGCGAGATATTAAACGGTGAAGGACCGGAAGCTGAGAAAGAAGGGAACTTGACCTCGGGTGTCGTAGTAGCAGGAGCTGCAGGTTTAGTGGCAAAAGGATTCTGCGCCGTGTCGAATATGCTAGTTTGCTTCTCCGGACTCAGGGAAGACAAAGAAAAGGGCCCAGGCGCTTGGGTAACCCCTGTCTCAACATTCGGTGGTGCAAATGGCGTAGAAGCAAAAGGATTAGGAGCTGCTGGTGTAGTTGTCGCACTCGTCGTAGGTGTGAACGGAGACGGATTATGAGCGAAAGGATTGGGTGCAGCTGGCGCTGCTGGTGTAGGTTTAAATGTGGATAAGCTAGAGGCGAAAGGGTTAGAGGAAGCCGGCGCAGACACCGCAGGTGTCGTAGACGTCGGCGCCGCGGGAGCTTGGCCAAATCCACCGCTGAACGACGAAGGGAAGGGGTTACTCGTTTGCGACGCTGCCGCGGCTGGAGGCTCGTTGGCCTTTGGCGGGAAGCCCCCGAACGGAGACGGAGCGAATGCCGGCGGTTTATCACTGGGTACTGTAAAGCTAGGCGCTGGAATCTCGTTCTCATCATCGCTAACGAAAAGAGAATCATCCTCCGTTGTCGATGGACCAGTGGGAGCTGGCAAAGCAAGTGATCGTTGCGGTAGCACAGAGCTGTCAATCATGCCCATGCTAGCGGCTTCTTTGATGCTCAGTCCGAGGATAATCGCGACCAGGCTTCTGCCTGCGCGCTTGGATTCGACATAAGTTTCTGAGAACGAGTGGTCCGAAGATGGCTGGAAAGCTATTGATTGGGATTAAGAAAACGAGTCAGTCGAACGTAATCGGAATGGTAAAGAGGCTAGGGCAAAAAGAATAGAAGAATCCTGGAAGCATGTGCCGATAAAACGCGAAAAGGGTTGCTGATCGACGAAAAAAGGCGAGGAGGGAGAATAGAATGAAGAATAGGAGGAATAGACCGTTGTCGACAAATTACACACGTACCAACAGATTCAATGGGATCGCTGCCCCAGTTGAGATATAGGTTGCCGTCAGCGTTTTCAGCGAAATGCAAGCCTTGTGATTCGCAGTATGTTCTCGTCTGTTCGTCGTCATCGAAACATAGCACCGTTGTCAACTCATCAATCGTCCACTCTTCGTTTTTGTGCTGCTGAGAGGCCGGATAGCGACAGTATCCTTTCCAGATCGACCGGATGGCCGTCTGTCGCACGTGGTTAAAGTAAATCTCCGCGACACATGCCATGAGATACGACACAGCGGGAGAGTCGACAATTTTGAAAAACCGCGCGTAGAAGCCTTGGGCAATCGCATTGGGCCGTCGAGAGTCCAGCGTTCCCTGGTAATCCCAGGTATTACCAGCTGCAGCAAACAATTCCAATGCTGCTTGCACGCGATTTGAGTTCCGTAACTCGGCCGGCCACTTCTGTACCCTGGCTTCGAGATCGGGTCTCTGGTCCATGATAGAGAAAATGATGTAGTACGCCCTGAATTCGTCTTCGTTGGCAAACGAGATACGACCGCGGTTGTCATCGTAGTAATACATCAGTGAGAGCATGGTGTTGTTGAGCTGTTCCCGTTCTTGATGGCGGTCGAATGGTTCCTCGTTCGCAGGGCTGGAAAGTAGGTGAAGGGAAAGGATATGGAACCGTGCGATCCGTTCCAGACAAGTGACTGCTGTTCGGACATGGTCTTCCTGGGTAAGTTGCTGCACAGAAAGGTCATTCCGGATGGATCGAGTACGATCCCACACGAATTTGTGAATCAAACCGAGAGGCTCAGGGCCTCCAACGACATGTCGGATTAGGTAGTTGGTGGTTTGAAGGAGTGTGTTGGGCGTTCGAATGTCGGACGGAAGCTGTTCGTCATAACCGGCAGCCGATCTTCTGAATCGCTTAAGCATCTTCGTCTCCATATATTGTAACGAATTTGTCGCTGGGTGAAGAAACTGAGGTAATAACCGTAAGCCTGAGGAACGTAATTGGCCAATCGAGATGTCGGTACCTTTTCGCTCTTATCCACCATCTTCTGAACAATGCGCTCGACGCGCTCGAAATCGGGGCACATGCTCGTGCAAGTGCCAACAGGTGTAATCGCCTGATTCAGAGAGGTGGGTTGGTTGGGATCCGCCATGAGACCCTTTTTGATAGCCAATTCCCTTTCCTTTGCTCTATCAAGTTTGAGCTATAATCGGTCAGAATGCCGCCATATTCGAATCCATAATCCAAGCAACACCCACCTGTTCGTATCGTTCAGTGTAACCGCTCAAAACCGAAGCATCTTCAACCGGTACAGCCCCAGTCGCACCATTTACCACTGGCTTCTTTGTTGTAACAGCCTGTTGCGATCCAAATCCACCAAAACCCGGGCCCCCAAAAGATCCATTCGAAGAAAACGGCGATTTTGTCTGCGAAGTCTGGACACCAAAAGGCGACAGCGCCGGCGCAGGCGGTGCGATCCATTTATCCGACTTCGGCTGCGCAAACGGCGACTCAGACGCACCATTCGACTCGGGCTTATTACGCGACGCGTTGACATGGCCCGTCGGACCTCCTCGACCTCGCGTAAATCCTCTCGTCGACGTAGCTCGTCCTCGTCCTCGGCCACGGGGCTTGTTGTCACCGGCTGATGGTGCTGTTGGCGTTGTAAACGGAGGCGCATTCGGATTTTTAGGCTGGAACGGCGACGGTCGTCCTCTTCCTCCACGTCCTCCACGATTCGAGGTTCCATTTCTCTGGTTTTGGGCTTGGGCCAAGCCAGCGAATGGGTTTGGTGGACCGGCCATGTCTGCCGCGAGGAGCGGACAACGTCCTCCCGCCTGAGGTCTTCAGTATAGCCGAAACGCGTAAATTCCTCCTTGTTGTTTTTGATATCGTTATCGTTTGGAGTCGACAATAAAGTGGTTCGAGGAAAACGACAGGAGTCGTGGGTCTTGATGAGCGAAAATTCCTAAAGCTCTACCACCAGGGACCGAGTCGCAAAAGCGACAAAGGAAAAGAGTCAGCCAAAACAACATACTGAAAAGGTGACATACAAGGAGAATCCAGAAAACGAAGGACAAGTGATTCCATATAAGACCACCATTCAAAACGTAGGACCTGAGGACGATTGACGCAATTGGAGTACCTTTGACACGGTCGCTCACTCGCTTTTTGATCGAAGAAGACAATGATATCCCGTATTCAAAGTACGCGCCAGTCGTAAGCAACAAGTAGACTTTCAGTGATATCACGAAAGGTCACGAGGAGTAGTGGCGTCGTCGATGTTGTCAATATCGGCGCGGCGGGATGAATGAGGTAGAGGTCAAGTCGCCGCGTATCAACAAATCGGAAAGGAAAACACGCGGGAAAAGATATCAGTCGATAGACTTAATATCGATTAACAGAATGAGAGTATAAAAAAAGTGGCTGCTGTCTGGAGAGTCCAGACAGTCTATGTATGTACAAAGGATGAATGAGATGGGAGTGACTGGCGGAGTTGCTCTTTGTTGCCGCGAAGCTACCCGCTAAGCGCTCTAGGCGCTGCAGTAAATCCACGTGACTGGGTGCCATATAGAGCCCTAATTATGCAGTCTTATGCGCGTTTTATGAAAACATTGAATAACACTACAATCTTTTACTTATGATCTCGCTTATTTTTTTTTTTTTTTGGGTTTTTTTTAAATTCTTTCATTGAACTAAATATACAAGAAAATTGCTAAAAACACGAAAGTGCTTTTTGCCACTCCAGTCCAACACATCAACGCCCTCGCTATCCAGACATGACATGAAACATAACAGAACGCTCAATAAAAGAAAATCATCCACCAAAAACGCTAAAGAAAAAAAATATAGACAAGCAAATTCGAATATAAGACATGTCGAACATAAGGAATATGACACAAAAGAAAAAACACATATATACCATGGACCGATGCTGGTCCTGAAAGAGATGAGAATAAAGATGAAAGCCAAACCACCTAAACTCCAGCCGTGCAAAGCGTAAGAATGAACATCAAGTCATCCGGGTCATGCAGCGTCAGCTAGATCTCACAATTGAAACACCAATGCGCCTTTTTCCGTTTTCTTTTTCGTCATGTCTATGTTTAGATATTGTGGGCGGGCATCATGTGACTATGCGTGAGAGAGCCAGGGTAGGCAGGAGCCTTGAGAGCCATGGGGTCCATGTGAGGCGTCCTCGAGCCGTGGTGGGGAAGGTCCTGTGTAGGCATGGGCATCTGGTAAGGCATCGAGGGCGGAGCCAGAGTCTGGGTGGTGGCGGCACTGGTAGCGGCAGCGGTGCTGTAGTCAAAGAGGTTTTGACGGCCAAAGGGCGATGTCCAAGGGTCGAATTGGTTTACTGGCGGCTGCACAGGCATGGAAGTCGGGCGGTGCTCTTCAGGAGAGGAGAAGGAAGCGTGACTCATGTAGTCAAAGGGCTGAGCCGGTGAGGTGGTGAAGTCGTCGGTGTAGCTCGAGGAGGGGGCGTAGTAAGAGCGGTCGTGGCGGACGGGCTCGCCAAAGTTGAGGGAGTCCAAGGAGAAGAGGTGCTGGTCCTGCATTGAGCGGCTGGCCATGGGCACAGGTTCGATTGCGGTAGGCATAGAGCTTGCCAGAGCTTCTTCGGCTTCGTCCTCCTCATCGGCTTCAAATTTCTCAGGCTCGCAGATCGAGTCGCTGTCCTTGTCGGTCTTGGGGTTGGTCTCTCTGCTCTTGATGAAGACAGTGGTGTTTCCGTCTGGATAAGTGTTAGAATCTTTTCGCTCATCTCAATTCGTTAAATGAAACATACCAACTTCGCCGCGCTCGTAGCGCTCTTCCAGTTTCCGCACCTTGAGCATCTCCTCCATCTCTTCAAGCTTTTCAGGGCCTCTGAGCGAGCGCTTAGAGTCATGTGCGACTTCTCTCAACTTCTCAGAAGTAATGCCCCAGCGGCCAAGCTTGCGCATGATGTGGATCAGAAGTTGAAGGCGTTCTGCCATAGTTAGCACGTGAAAGATATAAGCAGAAGGCATTGGACTCACCCTCTTTCTTAAGGTGATCAGGCTCCTTGTGCTGGACACCAGCAGGCCACCAATCAGGCTTGGTCTTCTCGGGGTCACCCTTCTGACCCGGGGGAGCACCAGCAGGAGGCTTGCCTCCGTTATAGGGGTGCTTAACCTGCTTGCGGGGCTCAATAAACTTGATAAAGGCCTTGGCAATCTGGCGACAGTTGATCTGCTGGAAGTGCTTCAAGGCGCTCTCATAGTAGGCAAGGACCTTCTCGGTGTCTCCAACCTCAAGACCAACCATGTCGGGGGTGGAGGGGGTCATCTCTTCAACGGGCTCGGGGAAGTAGTCTTCATGCAAGTCGTGGGAAGCGCGGCGACGGCGGACTCGACGGGACTGAGCCAAGCCATGCATTTCCTCGGGGTGGGCGTAGCCATAGCCAATAGGGGTACCGCGGAAGGGAGAGGAACCTGCGGATGTTAGTAAGGAAGCTCTGAAGCTCTGAAGTGGATGTCACATACGGCGCATCATAGGGCGTTGGTAGCCAATGCGACCACCGAGAATCTCCAAGAAACGTTCGCGCACTTCAGGAGTCAAGACTGTGCCACCCTGTTCTTGGATCGACGAAGACTCGGATGTACGAAGGCGGCCCATGTTGTCGAGGTAGACCATAGCGTAGTGGGCAAAGGGGAGATGGAACGAAGAGGGGCGCAGAGGAGGCATCATGGACTGGATAGGTTGTTAGTCTTGTTGTCCAGCTCCGTCGTCAGATATAAGACTCACCGGAGCCATGTCCCAGCTGGGAGCACATTCATCCTCGAGAGCAGACGAGGGCCGCTTGACGGCACTTGGCCCGGCGATAGGGGCGTTGACAACCATAGTTTCAGAGGGGTGAAGGGGAGATGTATCGAAGGATACTGCGATGTTCCAGAGAGTTGCACAAGAACGTGTCAATGCAAAGAGGGCAATCGAGTTCGTCTGATCAGAACATAAAGATCGAGATTGATGGTTCTGAAATGCCACGAGAACGGAGCGAACGTGGTCCTATTTCTAGGCGAACCTCGAGAGGCCAAGAGATCTAGACACGAGCACATTAGCCGGGGTCAATTCTGATGCGAACGCCAGCGTGGAGGCGGGAAAAGGGAGGTGCAAACAGAAGCAGCCCAGAAATGAATACAAGCCATCATGTAGACAGGGGAGACTCCATCCGGAAGACCTCATCCGCTGTACATATCCGATGACAGCACAAGACAGGTGGGGAGAATACGGGGATCATTTGACATTAGGCATGAAAAAACAAGGGAAAAAGAATATAGAATACTTACAAAAAAAAAAATGAATGAAAGAAAGAAAGAAAGACGGGAAAAGACAAACAAACAATTGGCCGTTGAGTATGCTTAATGCACCCGGGGAATCGGACAAGCTGTAAGCAACCGTGTGTTTCTTTGTTGCAAGAAGCGGATCGTATGCAGTGGGAAAAAGCAGTGATATAGTATAATAATAAATATACTTATACCCTTGAAGTATTGAAGTAGATATACTTGAGGTACTGTAAATGTGATAATGTGAAAAGAAGGAAAGAAGCTGGGGAGATGGCGGTTTTTCAAATAACCTCAAATGGCCCTGATCGTTTTCTGACTGATAACGGGATTGGAGAAAGCTGGACAAAAGAACCAAAGCGTATTCCAGCGTATACAGAAGCAATGTCATGCTCTTGCTGTATCTGATTCCTCTGGACCCGTCAGCATGGATGATCCCTGAGTGCATCAGCCCGAAACATGCCCAGGTGCATAAGAGCAAGTGGGTTTTAGTCAAAGGTGGAGGCAGGAAAAAATAAAATAAAAATATATAATTAAAAAATATATATATATATTAAAAATAAAAATATTAAGCACCAAAAGTACCCGCAGATCGTTCGGACGAGATTCCTCTATCGACTGTGGGTTCGTTGGCGTTTGTGTGAATGTTTACTTTTGCGGATGTCTGTTCTCTGCAGATTCCGAGGGGTCAGAGTCCTTGGCCTGAGCCAAAGCATACTTGTACTTGTAGTAGTACTTGTAGAAGATAAAGCTAAAGTATCTAAGTCTGTCTACAAGTACAGAGTACAGAGATTGACTGTACCCCAGCTATAGCTACTATTCCCCGATCAGTAAGCACCGCGAATCCATGTATCCAAAAACAAGAGCAACAAAAGTTCCTCGGAGATCCCGAATATTGTCGGGGTACTTTTGAGCGTATCTCGCGTATTGTGGTCCTGGCATTCTGTCACGGATCTCCTGTTCCATGATCTGCTGCTCAATTTCTTCCCCCCCCCCCCCTCCCCGGTCCCGGAAGGGTATAAAACGCCAAATATTGAGGTTCGAAAGTCATAGAACTCAATTAATCGAATACATAGCAATAATAACACTCCCATATAATAACACTGTAAGGAGTCCTACCCATAATAACACACACATAGTAATAACACTCGATCAGATCTGGCCTTCCCGGGCTTGACTTGCCTTGCCGGACGATCATACGGGCAGAACAGTAGGCGGCGCGTGCCTGTCCATCAAGGCTTTGGATTGGTTGGGAAATCGCTATAATAGCCATTTATTATTGCCGCGCCGCTAAAATCAATGCCATTCGGGACACCCGATCTCATGGTGTCCGATCGGAGATGCTCGGTGGACTTAAAATACGTACTATGTTACCATCTCGGATTTTGATTGACGACCCCCAACTTGCGACGGTTGGAAATAGTCTTGGATTAGACTTCTGTCAGTTGCCTTGTGGCAGCCGTCAGCCTGACCAAAAAGGGAAATCGACCATACAAAAAGAGTTTACCGAAGACGAGGTTTTGGTTAAACTGTTTGCTGTCAAAATCAAATCATTCCCTGGTCCCCGGAATGATTGTCGCTCCTTGGTATCATCATTCGTTGAGTCGTAGAGCGTCTCTACGCGAGGCAAATTAGTATGATCCTGTTATATTCCTTTTCGGGTAATCGTAAATTATGCCCCTTTTTTCTGGGATTCCAATTTACGACAACATCTGACAATCTGAGCATTGGCATCGCCACTGCGGAGATTTTCGCAGATTCCATTTATATCGCTGGCCAGGTTTGTCTTGTACCTACAGCACGATGCAGGTCCAACGTGCGATGGTGAAGATGTAGGATATATATATGTACCACGATGCATTTATTCATACCGCAAAAGCAGTTCGCTCACACTACAGCATGTCAGACTCAAGTCGAACTTCGTTCCTCAAAGCAAAACATAAATACGTATACAACCAAATATATTTCCGAATCAGTACATCTACAGTGACTCAAGCACCGTATCCGTAACCTGCATTAAACTTCGAACATCGAACACTTCAGCCAGAATTCCAAATCATTCCTCACCTCCTGAAACGAACCAAAGCCTCACCTCCTGACACCACCCCGTCACGGCTGTCATCCTGTCGCTTCAACTGACAGGAGTTTATCGAGCGCATGACAGGCAGATCCGGAGAAGAAGGAGGTGTGATGTGATGGACTAGTTTGGCCAGGCTAACCTATTGCGGTATGTAGGTTGTAGTTCTATGAGTAACCTGGGTATGTTCGGAGATATTCAATGACTTGGTCGTTGGTTTTTCGCATACCGTATTCGGTTAGATGAGGTTCGGCAGTGTATACTAGCTTATCTTTGTACGGAGGATCGTAGTACTAGCAACTCCGTGCTCCTACAAATACAGCCTCGTACCCAAATCTCGCCCAAAGTACTCCGTACTCCGTGCAAACGAATAAACCCTAGCCGCGGAATCCGTCCCGGCAACCCTCCCTCCTACTATATCTGGTAACTCCACCACGGCACTAACCGGGGTGTGCGCCAAGTACCACTACCAAGAGTACTCCAAAGTAAGCGGAAAAGTACTCCCCAGCATCCGGGTTCGTCTCAAGCCGTCTCCTGGAAAGGTGTTCACACGAGAGCAGATTGACTCACGATTATTGGCGGGCAGGCCGCGATCGGTAGCATCTAGGCTCGATCGGTTGACGTACGAGGACTTTTTTTTTTTTTTTGCGTTTATTATTGGATATGAATAAAGTACGCCTATCCTTTCTACTATGGTAAGCGTCGGTTGGGAGTGAACCATGGCCCCGGTCGAGGGATTCCGGTGGTTGGAACAGAGAATGACGATCTAGATTTCGGCGCTTGGTATGTAGGCAAAGGTCTGTCAAAAGCATGTAGCAAGCTTAATCGAGTTTCTTTTCTGCACAAGTACTTTGTTCTACATAGTAACTCCGTACCTCACCCGTCTTGCAAGTGTTTTGTCATGTTTTGTTCACAATTTCGCACTGATTACCGAATCGGGACAAGCATACTCCAGTCTGCTGTCGCGCTAATCAATACTAAACTCCCAGCCAGCCTTATCGATCAGCAGACAGCGCATTTGTATCATCATGGTTTGCACTTGTGCTCCGTATGTGCTCCGGAGAGTCAGACTCAAACCATGCCTACTATTATTATGAGCACTCCTTACTCGTAGGCCACTTTCTTGCACTGGTTGATTTACCGGACGTTGATCATCCGACCGGGCCGGGCCTATGGGCGAGATGATATGGAGTGAAGTTTTATTGTCATTATGATGTTCGTAAGGTTATTGTGCTCCCTAGACTAATTAGGATATCACTGCGTAATGAGCATGAATACCTGTAGACCACGCATATACAGAGTACCCTGTACAGAGGCATACTCCTACTCAATCCGGACACCACAGAGTACTCTGATATATACTGTAGATACCATACTCGGGACTTATCCGTCTCAGCTCTAGCATAGTACACTGTAGTATCCATGAATATTGCACTTACAAACCTCATCTTCAGCATAGTAAAGCACCGTATATCGTATCTGTACGCCAATGCACGGACTTTGCCACCGGTCACTCCGGACCATTTAGGTTACGGGCCGACCCCACTATTTTATTTCCCCGTGTCCCTTAGCAGTTAATGTATTCCAGCAGGACGGACTATGGTGATGTATCGACTATTAAGCTCCTAGAAACAAGCCCAGAGCATCATGTCATTCAAAGCAGATAAACTAAACTCCCAGCAAAACTACCCTGTAGATGTTCAGAAACGGAATCCTCAATGCAAATGACCTATCACAATCACCATGCATGATTAGATGATTAGATGTCTGTGAGCATGCATGCATTGAGTGGATACAAATACCCCTCTCTGCCACCGGTATTTAAAAGAACAGAATTCCAAATCATGGCTTCAACCCCCACTGGCTGCTTTTTTGCCCTTTGTTCTTGTTGCTTTTTTTTTTTTTTTTTTTTTTTTTTACCCCTTGTGCATTGTGTTTCTATTTCCGTTCCTT